AACCACACCTAAAGCAATAAGGGGGCGTGAGATATCCCAGCAGAGCGAACGCCCTCTCCCCCTACTCCTAGCCACAGCCTGTTTATCTCCCAACCCCAGCGCTCCACTCCTGGTGGCCAGCGAAACCCAGGCACTGCGCATGCGCCAAGCCTACCGTTCCATCCCACTTAATGTAGGGGGGAGGGAGGCCCTGAAAGGAGTAAAGCCAATCGGAAGGCCATTACTGGTCACATGGTGCGGGTCCCTCATGCCTTAACGAATCCACGAGTTGAATACACGCGCCCAGGTCCGCAGACAGTCCCTATGGTGGCTCGGTGGGTCAATTTAGTGCGGCTCTTTAAAGAACTGAGTTGTGTTGCTTAAGCTCATTATGAGTTGGCTCAGCGGACCCTCTCAGTTTTACAGCTCAGGAAAGAACTCCCCACAGACTCTCTAGTGTCAAGTCAGAGACTTTAAAAAGCAGTCAACTATCACAAAACATCACATGCCACCAAGTATCCTTCCGGCTCTACTGCCTTGTTTACTATTTAGTTTAACTGTGCAGGCATGTCTTGCCCTCCTCTGAATGCCATTCGAAACAAATCTGCACTTCGCCTCAAGCACAATGCAGGGCACAGTGATGGAGTTCAGTAAATATTTGATAAGTTAACAAAGACCTGTTAAAAAGGAAGGTGAACAGACCATATTACAATCTTCCCATGATCCAGGCCCTTAGCCTCTCTGTTATCTGTGCTTTAAAGTGTATGGAGACACACACAGAAATTCTCCATTTTAGTCTAGTTTTCATACTAACCCAGCTCATTTTTTTTTTTAATCCTCACCCAAGGACATTTTTCCATTTTTTGTTCAGATAGAGTGAGAGGGAGAGAGAGAAAGAGAGAGAGAGAGAAACATTGACGTGAAAGGGACACATCAAGTGGTTGCCACCCGCACAACCCAACCAGGGCCGAGGACAAACTGCAACCGAGGTACATGCCCTTAGCGGGAACCGAACCCAGGTCTCTCTGGACCGCAGGCTGACGCTCAAACCACTGAGCCAAACCGGCCAGGGCCCAGCTCATTTTTTAACAAAATACCCTGAGGGGAGGCTGATGTAGCTCAGTGGTTGAGCATCAACCCATGCACCAAGAGTTCACCGGTTCCATTCCAGGTCAGGGCACATGCCCAGGTTGTGGGCCAAATCCCCAGTGGGGGGCATGCAGGAGGTGGCCAATCGATGTTCTCTCTCATCGATGTTTCTGTCTCTCTCTCTCTGTCCCTTCCTCCCTTTCTAAAATCAATAAAGAAAAAAAAATTTTTTTTTAAAACAAAGTACCCTGAAGCTGTGAACTCTGGTGGGTATCTGAAGACCTGTCTTTCTCTGAAGAGCCTGAACTACTAGAGAGCAACCACTGTTTGGTTCACTCTTGTATCTTCAGGCTACTGGGGTGATGTGACTCTACATAGTAGAGCCTCAATAATTATTTGTGAAATGAATAAATGAAAAGGAATAGAAAAATCCTAGGTTTGGTAGCTCCCAAGATGGCCTGGTTATCCTCTGTCTGAGTCTTTCTGGATCCTCAAAAAGGAACCTAGGACCTGACCGGCCAGAAAATATCCCTAGGTACTGACCACTGCCTTCATCCCTCCCTCATTAAGATCTAAAATAATTGCCCAGCTGGTGTGGCTCAGTGGTTGAGTACCAAGAGGTCACTGGTTTGATTACTCGTCAAGCCACATGCCCAGGTTGTGGGCCAAACCGCCAGTGGGGGACATGCAGGAGGCAGCTGGTTGGTGTTTCTATCTCTCTCTCCCTAAACAATCAATAAAAATACATTTTTTAAAATAAATAAAATAATTGTTTCCCTACTGCCACCTGCTGGATTATTCATCCTCCTTTTGGTACTAAAGGGTAAACAAACTTTCAATGATTGGACTGCATTTGTAATACCATAGTAATGGAATTGTGTAGCAGTGAAGTATTTTATGATTATCTATACTTAGATACACACACCCATTACCAAACTAAACAGTACAAAAAATAGACAGGTGGGCGCACACGGTCTAGCACAGAATTTGGCTCATAGATATTCAATAAACAGTTGTTGAATAAATTATATTTCTTTTCATAAAAGGCATGGAGTTGCTACCATTTTCTGAGTTATTTTAGAAATGAGCTGTAGAGCCCTGGCTGGGTAGCTCAGTTGGTTAGAGCAAGTCTCCATATGCCAAGGTTTCAGGTTCTATCCCCTGACAGGACACATATAAGAATCAAACAATGTCCTGGATGGTGTGGCTCAGTGGATTGAGTGTCATCCCATGGACTGAAAGGTCCTGGTTCAATTCCCGGTCAGGACACATGTACCGGTTGTTGGCTCGATACCCAGTGTGGGGTGTGTAGGAGGAAGCCAATCGATGTTTCTATCTCTTTCTCTCCCTTCCTCTCTCTCTCTAAAAAAATCAATAAAAATTAAAAAAATTTTTAAAATGAATCAAACAATGAATGCATAAATAAGTGGAACAATAAACAAATCAATGTTTCTCTCCCTTCCTCTCTCTAAAATCAATACATTGTTTAAAGTGTTTAAAAAATCAGCTGTAGAGGTAAAGTTGTTTCTGATTTAAAAACTGGAAATAGACCAAAAATTGATTCACTACAGCAGAAAACAGGAGTTTTCTCCCTGGGAATTGATCTATGAATCATCCGAAAAGAAGAGATTGGTATTTTGCAGTTTCTTTCGGGTCTTCGTTTCTCTTTTAGGGATGAGAAAATGGCTACTGTTACTCCTACCACCTTGTAATTATATCAATCTGGTTACTTGCTTGTCTCCCTCATAAGACTATGAACGCTATAGAACAAATATTACATCTTATCCATTTTTATATATCAAGGATCTAGAATAGGTCCTGGCACAGAGTATTACCCAATACATGTCTCCTGAGTATATGAGTGAATGAAGGCAAAATTCAAAAAGTTGGGCTAGTGGTGTCTCCCATCTTTTCTCCCTAAACCTTGTCTCAGCTCCCACTCCCACTCAATCCTTGGTGTGCTCTGAGTCATGGAGCCACTCTTGCCAGGTAACATTCCTGGCATAGCAGAACTTTGGTGACGTCGAAGGGTGTGGAAGTAGAGGCAGAGTAGGACATGTTGTCTTGGTGCCTTCAAAGATATGGAAAAGGGAGTTCACCAATATAGGCTTTGGAAAAGGGGGACAATCTAACGATCTCAAAAAAGGGCCACACAGATGTGAAGGAAATAGTGCACACACACACACACCACAGCTTTATTAAAGTGAACTTCATGCCTTAGAACAGTTCCTAAGGTCAGAATGAAGGGGCTAGGGACTGCCAAGATCAATGTAGAGGCAAAATGAGAGGATGAGTAGCTAACCATTCACTTAGTCATTAATTAATTCACTGAATTAACATTATTTAGCCCTGATGTCCCAGGCACTGTGAGAGTTCCTGTTATACACAGATAAAGTCCCTGACCTCAAAAAGACCATCAACTAATGAGAGAGACATATCAATCATTAGAATAAAACATAATAGGTGCCATCATAGAGTATGTACAAGTGCTATGGTTTGACAACCATATTTTCTGAATAAAAAAATGGGAAGAAATAGTGACACAGTTGCCTGACAATACCACAGACAATTTCAGATTGGAACTATTCTAGAGACTCAAGGAGGTGTGATCTCCATGGTTATGAGAACTATTCTGGGAAGAGAAAAATGGATGTGCAGGGAGACTTCATTGTCCTATAGAATTAGAATTTTGCCAGATAAGAAAGAAAAGGGATTCTAAGAAGGAACAGCATGGAGTCATGACAGAAAATTGGGTGTCAGGGAAGTGATGCTAGAAGAGACTGATGTGGCAGGAGGTGAGGCTTAAAAGGCAGGGAGAGGCTAAATTATAAAGGCTCTTGAGTGCCAGGTAAATAGTAGTCATCACCTACTAAACATCTATGTGTGTACTAAATACAGTGCGAAGCAGTTTAGAAGGATTATATCTCTTAATCTTGTCAACAACCTTCAGAAGAGAAAACTGAGATTCAGAGAGATAAAGAAACTTGTCCTTGCCCTGGCCAGTGTGCCTCAGTGGTTGAGCATGGACCCATGCACTAAGGGGTCACCAGTTGATTCCTGGTCAAGGCACATGCCCAGGTTGTGGGCCAAATCCCCAGTGGGGGACATGCAGGAGGCAGCCAAATGATGTTCTCTCTCATCAATCTTTCTCTCCCTCTCTGAAATCAATAAAGAGAAACTATTTTAAAAATCAAATCAAATCAAATCAAAAAAGAAAAAAAAAAAAAAAAAACTTGTCTGGCACAGCTGGTGTGGCTCAGTGGATTGAGCATCCTCCCATGGACTAAAAGGTCCCAGTTAGATTCCCGTCAGGGCACATGCCCAGGTTTCCGGCTCCCTCCTCAGTAGAGGGCGTGCAGGATGCAGCGTCTTGATGTTTCTCGCTCATGTGTTGTGTGTTGTTTCTACCTCTCTCCCCCTTCCTCTTTCTCAAGAAAGAAAAAAAGAAAGAAACGTGTCCAAAGCCACACAGCTAGAACTTCTAAACTCAAATTCGTACTCAGTTCTAGCTGGCTCTAGCTGCCCTTAACCACACTACTAGTCTGCTTCAAGAATTTTGGACTTTATCCTGCAGATGATAGCCATTAAAGATTTTTAAGCAGAAAAAGTGACAGTCTGGGTTTTTAGATAGATTCATTTCGGTAGCTGAGTGAAAAACTCACTGGAGCAGAGGGAGACTGGTCTTTTCTAAATGAAAATGTGTTAACTCCCAAATTCTGCATTTAAGGTAATAAGTAGGGTAGCGTCACCGTGTCGAATCATTCATTCCACAACCCAGGTCTGCACTAGTTACGTCAAGGAGCATCCGGGGTTATAGCTGCGCAGGAGTGGGCGGAGCTGAAGAGTAAAGCCGGCTTAAGGGGCGGGACGAGGAGCTCCTCGACGCTCTGCTGCTTCTGCCTGGAGACGACAGGCTTCCGCCGCCGCCTGCCACCCGCAGGTGGTGGGGTCGAGCGCCGAACTCCGAGAACCGGGCTGGGTGAGGGGCGGTTGTGGTGGTGCAGTCTCGGTAGGCAGTATGAGTTTGGCTGGGGGCCGGGCCCCCAGGAAGACCGCGGGGAACCGGCTTTCTGGGCTCCTGGAGGCAGAGGAGGAAGATGAGTTCTACCAGACGACTTATGGGGGTTTCACGGAGGCAAGAGCCGGGCCCAGGAAGAGGGAGGGGAGGAAGCTAAGAGCAATCCTGAAGGGAGAAACCTCGGACAAAGAAGAGGGCGGGGAGCAGTGGAGCCCTGGCAGTTGCTACTCGGGACGGGGTGGGCGAGCCGGGGACGGGGGTGGGGGAGATACTGTGGAGTCCTAGAAGGGAGAGAGCCCTGGACGGGGCAGGGATGGAGAAGCCTCTAGGGGCGCCGCAGAGCATGGTGGAAACCTACTGTGTCTTCTGTAGTTGCATCTCTCACGCACTTCTGACGTCTGACACGCGCGTGGCACGTGGTAGTCACGCGGTATATACTCGTTGGCCCACTCCCTAAAATTGAGGGGCTTAGCCTCCTTTTTCAACTTTAAAATCTCAATGTAAACGTCTCCTTAGATAATCCTTGACTCTCCTATAAAGTATCCTCATTTAGTTCCTTCATAGAACATTTTACTTTGTAATTAGATTTGGTTTGCTTTTTATTTTCGTATTAATTTGTAAGCGCTGTAAGATTAGAGGTGGTGCATTGTTCAACAGTATACATGCAGTGCCTAGTCCAGTGTCTGGCTTCGCTTGGCATTTGTTAAATTTGTGTTGATTGAATCTGTACATTCTTTACATATGTGGAGCACCAGAGACAGCCATGCACTGTAATAGGCTCTAGGGAAACAGTTTTTAAAACATTGCTTTGTCCTTATCTATTTCAGACCCGGGTAGAGAACTACCCGGGTTAACAGTTAAAATATTGTGTGATAAGGAGTAAAGTAAGTGGTAAGCATAGGGTCTTGTGGTAACACATGGGAGCCAGAGATGATCAGGATGGGTATCCCTGGGGAACATGATGTTTAAGCTTAGAACAGTATGAATATAGTAGGCCTTGGCTGAATGAAGAGAAGTAGGACTGGGAGCTGGGGGAGGAGAAAGGTTAGTCCATAGAGGGGGCAGAGCAGAATGTGTAAAGGCAATGAGGTACTGGTCTTCCACCTGCACATCTCTCATTTTCCAGACCTGAAGGAGAATAAAGATTGGTAAAGATGAAGGGAGTAGGCAAGGGCCAGAACATAGGGACTTGTGAGCCATGTTAAGGAGTTATGCTCTTCATTCAGAGGATTGAAAAAATAATCAAATTTATACTTTAGGAAGATCACTCTGTAATGAAGAGTATGGTTTGAGAGGGGCACTGGGAGTAGAGAAACATGGACTGGAGAGTTCAAGAGAAATTAAGGCAATAGAATCCACAGGACTTGGTGACTGATTGGGAGTCATTGCTTACACAACCCTAACCAGCTAGTTTAAAATAGAACTTTCTTTTTTGTTTGTTTGTTTGTTTGTTAATCCTCACCCGAAGATATTTTTCTATTAATTTTTAGATAGAGTGGAAAGGGGGGAGGGAGAGAGAGAGAGAGAAACATCGATGTGTGAGAGACACACTGATTGGTTGCCTCCTGCATGTGGGGCTGGGAATGGAACCTGCTACCCCTGTCGGTGCCCTTGACAGGGAATTAAACCCACAACCCTACGGTTCGAGTGCTGACTCTCTTAACTGCTGAGCCAAACCAACCAGGGCTAAAATAGAACTCTCTCATCCCTCTCCCAAAAGCCATTATCCTATTCCTGTCATTTTACGAGTCGTTATTTAATATGTACCCATCATGTTTCCAAAAAGGATTTAAGGAGGCTTACGCTATAAACAAAAAGTAGGAACAGTAAAAATAGAGATCAGAAGTAATTGTACCAGGAGCGTCTACTGAAATGGTAATAGCAATTAATATTAAATTAAAAAATTTTTTTTTTCCTTTATTGATTTTAGAGAGAGATAGAAGCATTGATGAGAGAGAACATCAGTTTGCTGCCTCCGGTTGGGGATTGGGCCCACAACCTGGGCATGTGTCCCGCCCAACCAGGAATTGAACCAGTGACCTCTTGGTGCATGGGTCAACCAACACTCAACCACTGAGCCACACCAGCCGGACTTAATATTAAATTTGACTGTGAGCTTCCTGGCAGTCAAATCCTGTTTTTCTTTTTTTAATAGAAAAAAGCATATAAGTTCTTTAAGAGGGACAAAATTGTTCAGCATTAAATCCTAGGGACAATCACCTCCTTATATAAGCATATAAAGTAACGGGTTTGGTAGATGATGTAAAAACATTCTCATGCCGGCTGGTGTGGTTTAGTGGTTAGAGTTGTGGGCCTGCACACCTAAGGGTTGCAAGTTTGATCCCCCGGCTTATGCAGGAGGCAACCAATTGATGTGTCTCTCACATCAATGTTTCTCTCTCTTTTTCTCCTCCTCTTCCTCCTCCCACCATCCCTCCCTTCCACTCTCTCTAAAAGTCAATGGAAAAAATATCATTGGGTGAGGGTTAACAAAACAAACAAACTCATTCTCCTATCTAGTCATGTCTATTAGTGACCCTCAATAAAAGCCAAAGGAATGGTAGTAAATTGGTAACTTAGTGGAAGCGGGTTTTTTTTCTTTTTTAATCCTCACCAAAGGATATGTTTTTCATTCATTCTAGAGAGAGAAATATGGATTGGTTGCTTTCTGTACACAACCCGACCAGGAATTGAACCTGTGACAGGACTCTAACCAACTGAACCACATAGGCCAGGGCTGAAAGCATTTTGATTAGGCACTAACCTAATGTGTAGTGTAACTTCTACCCTCTGGTGCAATGACTTAATACCAGGTTAGAGCTGAGGGGATTATTGTGTTCCCAGGCTGTCTTTCTCAGACATCATTTGGGAGGAAATGTTGGTCATCTGTACAAGATAGAACTCTGGCAGGCTTGGAGTGTCAACTGTCTTTGTTATTTGCTTGCTTTGACTGTGTACCAAGATTAGTCCATTAGCTTGCATTACTGATTAAGGAGAGACACATGTTTGAGGTGCTGCACCCAACCAATGTGTCTGCCATCCTAGCCCTAATCTGCATCACCTCAAGTCTGGGCTGTACTCCATATTCTGTACTCCAGCCCATCTAATCTCCTCCAGAGCTTTCTACAGTACCTCTTGTACAGAGTGTTCTTCTCTCATCTAATATTCGATGGCTACCCACAGTGCATATTAGTAATAATACTCAACTGGTTTTCTGTCCCAACACACCTGGGGAGTGAGACATTTTTCTCGGTAACTTCGTTTACTTCAATAATGATTGTGAATGCTGGGACAGGTAAAGGGAAGATTGAGAGCTACTGGCCTGAAAGTTGAAGTCATAACTTTATTAACCTGACATTTAAGTTTCTCTATAGACTGAGTACAACTTTTTTTTCAAATCTTGTAGCCCTATAAGGCATCAGTTAATGTTGAAAGGAGGCTGTGCTGGAGCCAAAGGCAGTCAGCTAGGAAGACTTTTTGCCAGAGATAAAGCTTCTGCTTTACTTAGTTCTAAATCTTTATTCCATGCTATACACAGTCCTACTTCTGCTTTGTTACTGCTAGTCTTACCTACCCATGATTCTTTCCTCTTGGCTTTCTAAATACTACCACTATTTTATTAAAAAATTTTTTTGGTTAATCCTCACCCAAGGATATTTTCCCATATTTTTTGGATAGTGTAGAAGGGAAGGAGAGAGAGAAACATCAATGTAAGAGAGACATTGATTGGTTGCCTCCTGCATGACCCCAGCCAGGACACTACCAGTATTTTTTTTTCTTTATTGATTTTTAGAGAGAGAGGAAAGGAGAGGGAAAGAGAGATAGAAACATCAATGAAAGAGAACATCGATTGGCCGCCTCCTGTATGCCCCCCACTGGGGATTGGGCCCACAACTCGGGCATGTGCCCTGACCTAGAATCGAACCAGTGACCTCCTGGTGCATGGGTAGATGCCCAACCACTGAGCCACATCGGCCAGGCAGTATTTTTAACCATGACTCAAGTTCTCTTCATTCTTTACAGTCTAAAGCTGGATTCTGCAAACTACAAACCACTGGACAAATCTGACTCATTACCTGTCTTTATTTTATTTTTTTTATCCCCACCCAAGGACATTTTTGCATTTATCTACAGATAGAGCTGGAGGGAGAGAGGGAGGAAGAGAGAGAGAGAAACATCGATGTGAGAGAAACACATCGAGTGGTTGCCACCCACACGACCCCAACCAGGGCCAGGGACAAACTGCAACCGAGGTATGTGCCCTTAGCGGGAACCGAACCTGGGACTCTGGTCCTCAGGCCAACACCCCAACCGCTGAGCCAAATCAGCTAGGGCTCATTACCTGTTTTAATCTGGCTGTTTACAGGAAAAGTTTGCTAACCCCTGGTCTAAAGAATAAAGTCTGACATTTAAACCTCAGGCAACCAGTCCATAGCAAGTATGGATTCCTCTGAACACCTGTAACATTTTATTGCCATCTGGTATTTTATATGTTGCGTTGTATTACAACTTCCTTTTATACTTATGTCCTGCCCCCTACTAGACTGTAAAGACCCCCTGAAGGTAGAGACCAAAACATATCCTTTTGTACCCCAGCACTTAACATGGTGTGCTAAAGGAAAAGAGTAGTCAGTGTTGCAAAGGGTGGTGCTGGAGCTAAAGACCATCAGCTAGAAAGGTTTCTTGCCTGAGGAAAATGAATGGCTGGGTTGGGAAGGAAAGTGGGGCAGCCCCTATCAAGACAGCAAAAAGAACCCTGGCTGGTGTGGCTCGGTTGAGCATCCTCCCATGTACCAAAAGGTCATGGGTTCAATTCCTGGTCAGGGCACATGCTCAGGTTGTGGGCTTAATCCCTAGTGAAGGGTGTGCAGGAGGCAGCTGATTAATGTTTCTTTCTCACATCAATGATTTTCTCTCTAAAATCAATAAAAACATTTAAAAAAGAGAGAGAGATTTTTTTTCTTCCTGGAGGGGCATTAATGATTCTGATGTCAGCAAGAACTTCATCTCTATGTTCTCAGGAATCGGGAGATGATGAGTATCAAGGGGACCAGTCAGACACAGAGGATGAGGTGGACTCTGACTTTGACATTGATGAAGGGGATGAACCATCCAGTGATGGAGAAGCAGAAGAACCAAGAAGGAAGCGCCGAGTAGTCACCAAAGCCTATAAGGTGCAGGGGAAGTTCTGGTCTTGGCTTCCTTAATTCCTGTTCTCCCTTTCATCAGGTCCCAGTACTCCTAGTCCCATTTCCTACAGTGCTAGTTTTCTCTTAAGATTCTCATCTTCTTTCTGCTTATCGCTCTGTTTCTTGGTGTCTGATTCCAATCTGTTCCCAGGAGCCTCTCAAGAGCTTGAGGCCACGAAAGGTCAGCACCCCAGCTGGTAGCTCTCAGAAGGCCCGAGAAGAGAAGGCACTGCTGCCACTAGAACTACAGGATGATGGCTCTGACAGTGAGTGGGGATGTTTGGGTGACAAAACTGGAATATGCTGTTAAAGGTATTGTATCAGTGTCAGATTTACTGAAGTTGACAACTTTACTATAGCTATGTAAGGAAAATCTTTATTCTTAGGAAATATACACTGAAATATTTAGGGGTGAAGAGCCATGATGTGTGCAATTTAACTGATAATTCAGAAATAAAACAACATACAGAATGCAAATGGGCAAAATGTTAACAGTCCGTGATCTGGGTAAAGGATACATGGGTGTCATTTGTACTATTCTTGCAATTTTTTTGTAAGTTTGAAATGATTTCCAAATAAAAAGTTTTAAAATTAAAAAATTAATAAAGGAGATTCATGAATTCAAAGATTTCTTCCTCTCTGACTTCCTTCCCAGGTCGGAAGTCCATGCGTCAATCTACAGCTGAACATACACGACAAACATTCCTGCGGGTACAGGAAAGGCAGGGCCAGTCACGGCGACGAAAGGGGCCCCACTGTGAGCGGCCACTGACCCAGGAGGAGCTACTCAGGGAGGCCAAGATCACAGAGGAGCTCAACTTACGTTCACTGGGTCAGTGTGTGGTTTTGAGAACAGTGGGTATAAGGGCTGAGGAGCATGAGAAAAACTAAGACCTGGAAGACCCAAAGAACTGGAAAGGGAAATTTGGGACAAGGGCATTGGAAGAAAAAAATGATAGTAAATTATTAGGAGCAAAGAACTAGGCAGTAATTAAGGTTCCGAGGAGCAGCGTTATTGAGTTACTGTGGTGTAAAGTAAGAGTAGTATAGAATTAAGTTCAAATCCTAGTTCTGCTGTTCACTTGCTCTGAGGCTGCAGGCAAATTACTTAACCTACTTGCATCTTGCTTTCCTTGGTCACAAAATAGAGTAGTAGTGTCTAATTTAATAATCAGGAGAATTAGAAATTCAGTAGAATCTGTCAGTTTGTGAGATAAATTGCTTTACAGTAAATTTTTTTTTTTTAATCCTCATCCGAGGACATTTTTCCATTTTTTGTACAGACAGAGTGGGAGGGAGAGAGAGGAAGAGAGAGGGAGGGAAACATCGATGTGAAAGGGACACATCGAGTGGCTGCCACCCGCACGACCAAGCAGGGCCGGGGACAAACTGCAACCGAGGTACATGCCCTTAGTGGGAACCGAACCCGGGTCTCTCCGGACCGCAGGCGGACGCTCTAACCGCTGAGCCAAACTGGCCAGGGCTACAGTAAAATTTTTTTAATCTCAGTTTATGTGCTATTGGGTACACAAGTGTGTACAGTACAAAAACATACATTTTGCCCTGGCCAGTGTGGCTCAATGGTTGGAGGGTCGGCCTGCATACCAAAGGGTGTCAGGTTCAATTCCCGGTCAAAGGCACATACCTGGGTTGCAGGTTTGATCCCCGGCCCTGGTCAGGGTGTGTGTGGAAGGCAACCAGTCAATGTGTCTCATGTCAATGTTTCTCTCTCCCTCTTTTCCTCCTCCCCCCCGCCCTTCTTCCCTCTCAGTGTCTCTAAAAATCAATGGAAAATATATTCTCAGGTGTGGATTAACAAACTAAAACCGCAAAACCCATTTCTTTATAAGTTGGTCAGAGTCTCAAATCAATCATAAGAGATATGTGAGAAATTGAGGGAGCAGCAGATTTCACATGCTTACTTTGGGTCATACTTTTATTGAGTGGAATAGTGAAATAACAGAATCATCTACAGTATTAATTTGTTACTTCTCTCTGTCTCTCTCAATCTCAATCTTTCTCTTTCTTTTTTTTTTTATCTTCACCTGAGGATATTTTTTCATTTATTTTCAGATAGAGTGGCAGGGAGAGAGAGAGAGAGAGAGAGAGAGAGAGAGAGAGAGAGAGAGAGAGAGAGAGAGAGAGACATCAGTGTGAGAGCAACATCATCGACTGGTTGCCTCCCACACAACCCCAACCAGGGCCGAGGACGAACCGCAACTGAGGTACTTGCCCTTGGTCAGAATTGAACCCACGACTCTTTGGTCCAGGGGCCAACACTCTACCACTGAGCCAAACTGGCCAGGGCAATTAATAGTTTTCAAAATCAGACAACTCCAAGGACCACAGTGATTAAGAAAACATTTAGTTTCTTTCCAACATCTTCAGGATGTATTCTCATGACTTTCGCCCCTCCGCCCCCACTATACTGGTTTCTTTTTCTTTCTTTTTTTTTTGTGGTATGTGCCTGAACCGGGAACTGAACCCGAGACTCTCTGGTCCTCAGGCCGACGCTCAACCGCTGAGCGAAACTGGCCAGGGCCATTATACTGATTTAAAAATGATATAATCTTTATCAGTCAAACATAAATGACTGAGAACCATCACAAACAATGCATCACCTCAATGTCACTGTAATTACAATCTGCATCCTTTGATTACATTGATTGGCTCAGGCCACTATCAGGAGAGTGACTCCCAGGCTTCTGACATCAGTAACTGACATAGGTGACCCCAGAGAAGCAGGTTCAGCAGGGAAAAGTAAGTTCACTTTTGAACACGTTGAATTTGAGGCATCTATGAGCAATTTATGCAGTGCAAGGAGGTCAGTTAAATATACAAAACTGGTGCTCAGACAAGAGTTCTGGGCTGGGGAAATACAAATTTGGAAGTCTTTAGAATATAGATGATAATTGATGACATTGGAGTGGATCCAATCAACCAGGGAGAAAGCATAGAGTGAGAAGAGAAGACAGGCCCAAGAGAGTCCTGTAAACACTAATGGCATGGCCAGACAGTTGGAGGACTCCAGGAGAGTTTGTTTTAAGAATGCTAAGGAGCCCTGGCCGGTTTGGCTCAGTGGTTAGAGCGTCAGCCTGCAGTCCAGAGAGACCCGGGTTCGGTTCCCGCTAAGGGCATGTACCTTGGCTGCAGTTTGTCCCCGGCCCTGGTTGGTCGTGTGGGTGGTGGCCACTCGATGTGTCCCTTTCACGTCGATGTTTCTCTCTCTCTCTCTTCCTCTCTCTCCTTCCCGCTCTATCTGAATAAAAAATGGAAAAATGTCCTCGGGTGAGGATGAAAATAAATAAATAAATTTAAAAAAAAAGAATGCTAAGGAGCCCTGGCAGGTTTGGCTCAGCGATTAGAGCATCAGCCTGCAGTCCAGAGAGACCCGGGTTTGGTTCCTGCTAAGGGCGCGTACCTCGGTTGTGGTTTGTCCCCGGCTCTGGTTGGTCATGCAGGTGGCAGCCACTTGATGTATCCCTTTCACATCAATGTTTCTCTCTCTCTCTCTCTCTCTCTCTACCTCCCACTCTATCTGAACAAAAAGTGGAAAAATGTTCTCAGGTGAGGATAAAAAATATATATATTAAAAAAAAAAATTGCTAAGGAGACTTGGCCAGTTTGGCTCAATGGTTAGAGTGTCAGCCCGAGGACCGAAGGGTCGTGGGTTCAATTCCAGTCAAGGGCACATACCTGGGTTGCAGGGTCGATCCCCAGCTCTGGTTGGGGTCATGTGGGAAGCAACCAGTTGATGTGACTCTCTCACATTGATGTTTCTCTCTTTCTTTTCCTCCCTCTCTCTCTAAAAAAAAAAAAAGTCAATTGAAAAATATCCTTAGGTGAGGATTAACAAAAAATAAATAAATAAAATAAAAAAACCCTAGCTGGTTTGGCTCAGCGGTTAGAGTGTCGGCCCACGGACGAGTGAGTTGCGGGTTTGATTCCGGTCAAGGGCACATACCTCAGTTGTGGTTTGTCCTTGGCCCTGGTCGGGTTGTGCAGGAGGCAACCAGTTGATGTGTGTGTGTCTGTCTGTCTGTCTTTCTGTCTCTCTCCCTCCCTCCCTTCCTTCCTTCCACTCTGTCTGATGGTCTGATGATACACAGAAAAGATATATCCTCAAGTGAGGATTAAAGAAAAAGAATGCCAAGGAAAGCCTTGGCCAGTGTGGCTCAGTTGGTTTGGTGATGTCCCAGGCTCTGAAAGGTTGTTGGTTCAATTCCTGATCAGGGCACATGCTCAGGTTTGGGGGCTTGATCCCCAGTAGGTGGCACACAGGAGGCAGCTGATTGATGTTTTGCTCTCATGTCAATGTTTCTCTCTCTCCCTTTCCCTCTCTAAAAATCAATTTTTAAAAATCTTTTTTTAGCCCTGGCCGGTTTGACTCAGCGGTTAGAGCGTCAGCCTGTGGGTCCAGAGAGACTCAGGTTCGGTTCCCGCTAGGGGCACGTACCTTGGTTGCAGTTTGTCCCCAGCCCCGGTTGGGTCGTGTGGGTGGCAGCCACTCGATGTGTCGCTTTCACGTCGATGTTTCTCTCTCTCTCTCTCCCTCTCTATCTGAACAAAATATCGAAAAATGTCCTCGGGTGAGGACAAAAAAAAAAAATCTTTTTTTAGTCCTCACCCGAGGATATTTTTAGATTTATCTTAAGACAGAATGGGAGGGAGAAAGAGAAAGAAACATTGATGTGAGAGAGACACACTGACTAGTTGCCACCCACATGATCCCATCTGGGGCCGGGGACTAACTGCAACCGAGGTACATGCCCTTGGCCGGAATCAAACCTGGGACTCCTTGGTCCACAGGCTGATGCTCTAACCATTGAGCCAAACCAGCCAGAGCTAAAAATCTTAAAAAAAAAAAAAAAAAGAGCCTGGCCGGTGTGGCTCAGTGGTTGAACATTGACCCATGCACCAAGAGGTTGCCAGTTCAATTCCCGGTCAGAGCACATGCTCAGGTTGTGGGCCCAATTCCCACATACAGGAGGTGGCCAGTAGATATTCCTCTCATCGATGTTTCTGTCTCTCTCTAAAATCAATAAAGAAAATAATAAATAAATAAGAAAGAATGTTCCAGAGAGAGTACTGCTGAATGCTTCTGGGATGCCAGTTTAGAGGAGAACTGAGAAGTGGCCATTGGTTTTGGTGACATGGAGGTCAGAGATTACCTTAGGGAGCCCTTTATGGATACCAAACCATTTTGAATTTGGTTGGGAAGCCACACTTTTTTAAAGTTTGGCTGTGAAGTTGTAGGAGAGGAACAGAAGCTATGGGGGTGTGAGGGTCTGGGGTCAAGATAGAGTTTGTCCCTGTTTTTGTTTGTTTGTTTGTTTGTTTGTTTTTTATCCTCACCCGAGGACATTTTTCCATTTTTTGTTCAGGTAGAGTGGGAGGGAGAGAGAGGAACAGAGAGAGAGAGAGAAACATCGACGTGAAAGGAACACATCAAGTGGCTGCCACCCGCACAACCGACCAGGGCCGGGGACAAACCGCAACCGAGGTACACGCCCTTAGCGGGAACCGAACCCGGGTCTCTCAGGACCGCAGGCCGACGCTCTAACCGCTGAACCAAACCGGCCAGGGTTGTTTGTTTGTTTTTTAATGCGAAGATTAGAGGGACTGCCCTAGGTAGCTTGGTTGATTCAGGTGTTTTCCCAATACGCCAAGGTTGCAGGTTTGATCCCTAGTCGGCACATACAAGAGTTAACCAGTGAATGCATAAATAAGTGGAACGACAAGTCAGTCTTTCTCTTTCTCCCCTCTGTCTCTCTCCCCTCCTCTTTCTCTTTAAAGAAAAAAATCAATTAAAAAAAAGATTGGAGGGATTGTATCTTTGGTGAAAAGCAGCTGAAAGAGCTTAATCAGAGAAGAAAGAAAGGATACTTAATAGTATAGATTTTTGGAGAAGTGGGAGGCAGGTGGGGGAAAGGAGGTGGAGCTAAAGCACAGGTGGAGGAATTGGCTTAAGAGGAAGGGAGGGTGGGTGGCTTATAGCTTTAGGTTTGTATATCCAGAGCAGGACATTGCAGTGGTTCTCATCTGATGTCTTTTAGGCACTATCATCTGTCAGGTGTTGGGGATAGACTTGGAAGCTTGAGGAGAGTGAAGAGTGTTTGAAATAATTGTAGAGAAAGGATCATCTGCTGGGTGTTGGTCTGTTGAGGTTTGGGACCATGAGTGTATGGTGGTTTCATTCTACCTGTTGTATAATTTTTCTCCAGTAGCACTCAGCAATCCAGGTCTGAGCGTGGGAATTTACATTGACAATAGAATGACTGAAATGATAGATTAAGAAACCTGAGCTCGATTTAAAAAGGAAAATGAAGCCCTGGCCAGTTTGGCTCAGCAGTTAGAGCATTGACCTGCGGTCCGGAGGGACCCGGGTTCAGTTTCTGCTAAGGGCATGTACTTTGGTTGTGGTTTGTCCCCGGCCCTGGTTAGGTCGTGTGGGTGGCAGCCACTCGATGTGACCCTTTCACATCAATGTTTCTCTCTCTCTCCCTCCCACTCTATCTAAACAAAAAAATTGAAAAATGTCCTCGAGTGAGGATAATAAAAAAACAAAAAAAGGAAAATGAAAGCTGGAAGGAGCTGATAGAATGAGGAGATGCCCATGTATGACAGGTACTGAAGAAGTAGAACAGAGATATCTATAGGGTAGTGGAGCAAACAGACCTGAATGATAGGATGTTGTGGTCAGAATCTGGATGTATGATTTGGAATATTTCAGAGCTGGGGCAGTTTCAGACAAGGACAAAATCTAGACTGTAGCCATAGCAGAATGGAGTAACTAACATGTCATGGACAGGAAGGTTGTTAAGAGATTTGTTAAGAGATGAGGTGGTAAAGAAACTGGAGATGTAGTGTTGAAGGGGCTACCTGTGTGCACTGTGAAATTATCAGGGTCACTAGAGATGGTAGGAGTTGGGGTGGAGATGAAGAGTGGAAACCATTGCCAAAGTCTTCCAAGAGTGAGGGAGTGACCATGACTAAGAAGAGAAGGTAAGCTAGACTGGGCAAAGGTCTCAAAAGAGAAGTGAGTGTGCAGGTGGGAAGAGGAATGAAATCTGAAAGCTGCAGTGTGGGGCTCAGTAGGACACAGGCATCTCCTGTGTGGGACGTGAGAGGATGAGCAGCCTCTACCAGAGGGCTGCAGGGAGAGTGGTGGCCTCAGTGGGTGACAGGTTTCCTGTAAAGCAAGTTGAGTGTGGGAGGTTATAGATGAGTTGGCTGATTATAGAGCAGGAGTTCCAGATAGTACAGGGAAGTGTTCGAGAGAAGAAGGGTTGGAAGTTTGGCTCAAGGGAAAGAAAGCAATAATATCAACCAGAATTTAATTACACAAGAGGTTAAATTACTTGAGGGGTTTCTAGAGGACTCTTTGGGTTAGATTTTTATCTAGAGGATGGTGTTCACAGTACCCACATTTAACGAGGAAAAAGAATTTTGGAGTTAATTTAGAAAAAAGGAACCAGGAATATTTTGATCTCTTTATGCAGTAACATATTTATTGAGTGCCTATAATATGTGGAATGCTGATTGATATGATAATTTGTAGGTAATATGAGCCACAGACACTGCCCTTAAGGAGGAGACATATACCAACAGTGAACTGCTACAGAGCAGTGAGTGTCACGGGGTCCAGCAGGGGGGCCTGTGCTGTATTAGAGATGTGTCTGGAAGGAGGAGCAATTATTCAGCTCTGCTACATGTGACAGTGTCAGATTTTATTATTATTATTTTATAAATAGTTTTTTATTGATTTTAGAGAGAGGAAGAGAAAGGGAGAGAGAGACATTGGTCGGCTACCTCCTGCACGCCCCTTACTGGGGATGGAGCCCACAACCTAGGCATGTGCCCTGACTTGGACTCAAACCCACAACCTCGCCCTGGCTGGTTTGGTTCAGCGGTTAGAGCGTCGACCTACAGTCCAGAGAGACCTGGGCTCAGTTACCGCTAAGGGCTCATACCTCGGTTGCCGTTTGTCCTCGGCCCTGGTTGGGTCGTGCGGGAAGCAGCCACTCGATGTGTCCCTTTCACATCAGTGTTTCTTGCTCTCTCTCCCTTTCTCTCCTTCCCACTCTGAATAAAGAGTGGAAAAATGTCCTCGAGTGAGGATAAATAAATAAATACATAATAACTAAATAAATAACCCCAACCTCCTGGTGCATGGGACAATGCTCAACCAACAGCCACACCAGCTGGGCTTATTATTTTTTAAGAGAGACCAGAAATCTCTGTTTAAATGTAATTGACTACATTTTAAATGTCAGCAAGTAATTCAAATTTTTCTTTAAAAGACAATACAGATCAAACAAAATACTTAAATGGGTTGCCAGCTTGCAACTTCTGCCATAGACTGTGATAAGTGCAGTTATAGAAAAGTGTCCTGGGCTCGGGTGGCAAAAGGAGGGAGACTCAGAGCCGTGTTGTATGAGGAATGGGTCAGTGGGATGGGTGTTGTGATCAGCCTGGAGATACATGGACACTAATTTCAACTATTTAAAGGACTGTCATGTGGAAGATAGATTAGACTTCCATCTTCTATAGCCTTAAAAGGTAAAACAATGTCATCAGGAAGTATATTTCAGCTCAAAATAGGAGAAAACTCTGTAATGACTAGACATGCCTAAAATGTAAGGTACTGTCTTGGATGGGAGTGAGTTGACAGGGCAGTTGTGAGGAGTGTCTGGGGAACTGAGCAGGCTCCTCCTCAAAGGGTCCCTTCCAACTCCGAAGTCCTACGGTTCTTAGTGGGTGAGGAGCCAAGTGGACTTGAGAAATGGTGAGCAAGGAGGATGTCAAGAGGGGCAAGCAGAAAATTTAAAAGATGGGAGGTGCTGGAGGGCTTAGAGGACTTTCATAATTGGCTTGTTAGGCAGTGACTAGACAGCCAGGAAGGTAATTGAGAGGTTGTTGGGCAGAACTGGGGCTTGGGAAGAGGGGGAACTGAACATCCTCATTCTTTTTTTTGACCCTCAAGAGACATATGAGCGACTCGAGGCTGACAAAAAGAAGCAGGTTCACAAGAAGCGGAAGTGCCCTGGGCCTGTAATCACCTATCATTCAGTGACAGTGCCACTGGTGGGGGAGCCAGGCCCTAAAGAAGAGAACGTGGATGTGGAAGGGTGAGTGACTCAAGGAGGGAAGGGAAGACGGGTTTCTCCCTTCTTTTAGCTGTATTCTCTCAGCCCCATTTCATTGCTTGCTTCGCATAGTTCTCACTGACGCTTGGATATCTTTCAAATTCCTCTTTCCTTTAATTCCTTATTTCTTTCCCTTTTAGCCCCTCATTTCTTTTTTTCCATCCAGCCCAGCTTTCTTTTCCCAGCTGTCACTTAATAGATTCTCTCAGAATGTTGCCATCACTCTGCCTCCTCGTGTTTCCTCAACTCTCTGATCTTTCTTTTTTTTTTTTTTCCTCACCCGAGGACATTTTTTCATTTTTTGTTCACATAGAGTAGGAGGGAGAGAGAGAGAAACATCGATGTAAAGGGAACACATCGAGTGGCTGCTACCTGCACGACCCAACCAGGGCCGGGGACAAACTGCAACCGAGATACATGCCCTTAGCAGGAACCGAACCTGCGTTTCTCTGGACCGCAGGCCGACATTCTAACTGCTGAGCCAAACCGGCCAGGGTTCTGATCTCTTTCTTTATCTGTTTCCTCTTTCAGCTCTTTGTGTTCTCTTTTCCCTCAGACTTGATCCTGCTCCCACGGCTTCTGCATTGACTGCCCGTGCTGGGACTGGACCCATCGTTTCTCCTGCTCGCTGCTCACGTACCTTCATCACTTTTAGTGATGATGCAACATTTGAGGAATGGTTTCCCCAAGTGCGACCCCCAAAGGTCCCTGTTCGAGAGGTCTGTCCAGTGACCCATCGCCCAGCCCTATACCGGGACCCTGTTACAGACATACCCTACGCCACTGCGAGAGCCTTCAAGATTATCCGTGAGGCCTACAAGAAGTACATCACTGCCCATGGACTGCCACCCACTGCCTCAGCCCTGGGACCTGGCCCACCACCTCCTGAGTCTCTCCCTGGCTCTGGGCCTCGAGCCTTGCGCCAGAAAATTGTCATCAAATGAAGAGATGTTTAGACCTTGGAAACCTCTTTCCTGCCCTGACTTGGGCTCTCAATGTCTCCCTTCTCTTCCTGTTTCTCCTTTCGTTGTGTCTAATCTTTGCCCAACCCTGCCCAACCCTTTTCTATATTTCTTTCCCCACCTTTTCCCCTAGTTCCTACTGGTCTTGTTTGTGTTTTGTAATCTAATAAAATAGAAAGATCCCTTTTGTCTGATGTCTGATCTAGGGTTGGGAGCAAGAAATATTTGTGAATGTCTCAGTATATATGGGTCTATATAATAAATAGCATTTATTATGAGCTGCCCTTTTTTTTTTTTAATCTTCACCTGAGGACATTTTTCCATTTTTTGTTCAGATAGAGCAGGAGGGAGAGAGAGGAAGAGAGAGAGAGAAACATCAACGTGAAAGGGACACATCGAGTGGCTGCCTCCTGCACAACCCAACCAGGGCTGGGGACCAACTGCAACTGCGGTACATGCCCCTAGTGGGAACCGAACCCAGGTCTCTCTGGACCGCAGGCCTGTGCTCTAACCGCTGAGCAAAACCGGCCAGGGCATGAGCTGCCCTTTTAATTGATTGATTGATCTATTGATTGTTTTTTAGAAAGAAAGAAAGGGAGAGGGAAAGAAAAACATTGATGTGAAAGTGGAACAGCGATTGGCTGCCTCCTGCCGCCCCCTACCAGGAATCGAGCCCACAACCCCCTAAAACCCAGCGTGTGCCATGTGCCATGGCCGCAAATCTGGCAACCCCTCAGTGCGCGGGATGATACATTACCAAATGAGCCACACCGGCCAGGGCAATAAACTGCCCTTTTTATTTATTTATAACTTTTATTCATTGATTTGAGAGAGAGAAACACTGATTTATTGTTCTACTTATTTATGCATTCATTGGTTGATTCTTGTATGTGCCCTGACCAGGGATTGAACCCACAACCTTGGGGTATCGGGACAATGCTTTAAGCAATTGAGCTAACTAACTGAACTACCTGGCCAGGGACCTGCCCTTTTATTTTTAAAACATTTTTTATTAATATTCACCCAAGGATATGGATATTTTTTCTGTTGCTTTTTAGAGAGAGTGGAAGGAGGGAGGAGGAGGAAGAGAGAGAGAGAGAGAGAGACATCAATGTAAGAGAGACATATCAATTGGTTTGCTCCTATGTGTGCCCTGATGGGCTGGGGATTAAACCTGCAACCCAGGCACATGCCCTTGACCAGAAATTGAATCTATGACCCTTCAGTGTGCAAGCGCTCTATCTACTGAGCCACACTGGCCAAGGTAGGGAGCTGTCCTTTTTAAATTGTAAAATATTCATTCCTCCAACTAGATTATAAACACCTTAAAATTAGATACCAAAACAAAGTCCTTATACTCACCTTTATATCACCTTATAGTCACTGCTTTGAACATAGTAGGCACCAAATAAGTAGGTACTATCTGATTCTCCTAGAACTCGTTTCTAGGACTTAGGCTTGTATGAAGGGAAAAGGAGGAGGTGTCATGACTGTTAGTGGCCACTAGAGGCTCTCAGGGCTGGGCAGAGTATGGGGGCTGTGTATATGTGATCTCCCACTACCCCCCACCTGGCCAGAGCTAAAATAATAAAATGCTGAGCTCACTGTTCCCCCACCCTTTCACCCGGCACCCAGGCACTGGGCTCCTCCTGCCACAGGGACAGTGCTCCTGTAGAAAAGACAGACTGACGGACAGAAGGGAAGGTGAGGGAAGTGGCCATCAGGACTGGTAGGTGGGGAAGGCAGGGGGCTTATGGATCAGAGCCTGGTGGGAGATGGGAAGAGTGGCTCCTATTGGAAATAATACAGAGTGTGTCTCTGTCTGTCACTCAATGTATGTTCTGCCACTGTCTGTCATATACTTTAACTGTAGTTTACATTGTCAATATAAGTGTCACACACTTTCTAGCTCTTTCATATTAAGCATGGTGTGTATGTGTAGCTTGTGTGTAATTTTTATGTTGTAAAAGATTGTGCAAGTTTAATCCTCCCACTGTTTTAAAAGGAACTTTATCCCATTTAGAAAGCATTTCCCACCCACTGGTCTGGTGTCACCTTCCTGTCCAAAGCCAGGGACAAATTATGGGGACTCAGCCCCTCCTCCTGAGGCCATACCACCCTTCCCCCAACATGGAAGTACCCGCTTCCCCAGCTTATCTGTGCCCTTGCTCTCTCTTAGGATTTAGAATTTTAGCAAACACAGTGAAAACTTAATCCCCTACAATAAAAGAAGAAATAAGGATGGGGTAAGACAACCATCTCTCCCCTCCACCCCCCAATCCTTGCTTTTTTTTTTTTTTTTATCCTCACCCGAGGACATTTTTCCATTTTTTGTTCAGATAGAGTGGGAGGGAGAGAGAGAGAAGCATCGACGTGAAAGGGACACATCGAGTGGTTGCCACCCGTACGACCCAAGCAAAGCCAGGGACAAACTGCAACCAAGGTACGTGCCCTTAGCGGGAACCAAATCCGGGTCTCTCTGGACCGCAGGCTGATGCTCTAACCGCTGAGCCAAACCAGCCAGGGCAATCCTTGCTTTCTTAAACCAGTTTGGGAACAAGACTGAGTTATGGGAAAGAGAGGAGGAATATCCCTGAAGCTCTCTGCCCCCTCCCCACCGCCTTCAATAGGAACTGGGCCTGGGGCCCATGGTGCTGGCAGGGCTCCCAGCAGCTGTGCTAGGTCAAGAGTCCCAATGGGCAAGGTGCTGCCAGGATTTCTCCATCATACAGAGGGAAGACAAATCCAGCCTGGATGCCTGGGACCCTCATCCAGAGTGACTGAAAGCTGGGGAAGCAGGAAGGAGGCTCTGGTTCTAACTAAACAGCCTAACCTTCCCCCATTTTCCCATGCTCAACTAGGTTTCTAACCTTAAGGCATCCAGTTCATTGTTCTGCTTCCTGGCTGGTCTCTTTTGTCCCTACTGTGCTTGTCCCTCATGGTCTTTCCCTTGCCAACCACTTTCCCCATGTTCCCCATGTTCCCCAGGCTCTGTGAGTGCCACATTGTGGGGAGGGGGTGGGGCCATCATGTCATCGTATCTGAAGGAACTGGAGAAATACAGAGACATAGATGAAGATGAGATCCTAAGGACCTTGAGCCCCGAGGAGCTAGAGCAGCTGGACTGTGAGCTACAAGAGATGGACCCTGAGGTAGGTGCTCTAGCACAAGGAACCAGGGGTAGTCCCCAGGCATTTGGCGAAGGGTACAGGGCCCTGGGTGGCCGAGACCAGGGCTACCTACAGGGCCTGGAGTCCCAAGAGGGCCAGGAAAAGGTGTCTGGAGATGTTTTAGGGAGCCCTGGAGGTACCCCAGGTCAAAGGGGAGGTCTGACTTGCTCCCAAAACTCATCCCTAAGAACATGCTCCTGCCAGCTGGACTAAGACAACGTGACCAGACAAAGAAGAGCCCAACAGGACCACTGGACCGAGAGGCCCTTTTGCAGTACCTGGAGCAGCAGGCACTAGAGGTCAAAGAACGTGATGACTTGGTGCCCTTCACAGGCGAGAAGAAGGGTATGGATACCCTAACATCCATGCCTTCCGGAACCCGAATAGCTGTCTCTTACATGTCCTCCCACCAGCTTCTCTCTCACCTGCCAGCTCCTAGCTGCTTGGGGACTCCACTGCCCTGAAACCTGCATGCCAGCTTACACTCTTTAGCTATTACAAAAGATTAAGGGAGCCCTGGCTGGCTTGGCTCAGCAGTTAGAGCATCGGCCCACAGATGCTCTAAGAGTCGTGGGTTTGATTCCAGTCAAGGGCACGTACTTAGGTTTCGGTTCGGTCTCTGGCCCTGGTCAGGATCATGAGGGAGGCAACCATTCACGTGGATGTTTCTCTTCCTCTCCCACATTTGCTTCCACTCTATCTAAATATCAATTTTAAAAAATCCTCTCTCCAACCAGTGTGGCTCAGTGATTGAGCATCAACCCATGCACCAGGAGATTGCTGGTTCGGTTCCTGGTTAGGGCACAAGCCCGGCTTGTGGGTCCGATCCCCGGTGGGGGGCATGCAGGAGGCGGCCGATCGATGTTCTCTCTTATCGATGTTCCTATCTCTCTATCCCTCTCCCTTCCTTTCTCTCTAAAATCAATAAAGAAAATTTTAAAATCTTCTGGAGAGGATTAACAACAACAAAAAAAGTCAGGGGATGCAGGAAGCCTGAGCTTGTAGAGGATTCAGGCTTTCCGGTGTCCCCTAGTGACCCAGCATTCCAAAGCCTCCTGGAGAAGGAAAGAAAGCTGGAGTCCTGGATCTCAGGATTAATTACCCTTACCTGAACCATCCTTCCTCTTCCTATCAGGGAAACCTTATATTCAGCCCAAAAGGGAAATTCCAGCACAGGAGCAGATCACGCTGGAGCCCGAGCTGGAGGAGGCACTGGCCAATGCCACAGATGCTGAAATGTGTGATATTGCAGGTAGGTAGCTGTGGAAAGTTGAGGGGGGTGGGAAGATCAGGGGCAGGGGGTCCTATTCATGGGATGAGATTAATGGGGAAGGACATAGATGTTTGAGAAAACCTCAGGTAGTGATTTTTAATTTTTCTTATTTATGTTATTCATTCATTTTTAAAAGTTTAATAAGTTAGCCTGGCCAGTGTGGCTCACTGGCTCAGCATCAATCCATGCACCACGAGGTCGCCACTTTGATTCCTGTTCAGGGCACATGACCAGGTTGTGGGCCCAATCCTCGGTGGGGGCATGCAGGAGGTGGCCATTTGATATTCTCTCTCATCAATGTTTCTCTCTCTCTCTCTTCTTTCCTCTCTATAATCAATAAAGAAAAAATATTAAAAAAAATATTTTCTTTTCTTTATTGATTTTAGAGAAAAAGAAAGGGAGACAGAAACATCTATGAGAGAGAACATCGGTTAGCTGCCTCCTGCATGCCGCCCACTGGGGAATGGGCCCACAACCTGGGCACGTGCCTTGACCGGGAATCGGACCTGTGACCTCTTGGAGCATGGGTTGGTTGACGCTCAACCACTGAGCCACACCGGCCGGGCAAAGAAAAAATATTATTTTAAAATAAGATAAAAAATATGCCCTGGCCATTTTGGCTCAGTGGTTGGAGCGTCAGCCTGCGGACCAGAGAGTCCCGGGTTCGGTTCCTGCTAGGTGCACGTACCGAAAAACATAAATAAATAAAATAAAATTTAATAAGTTAACATTTCGAGGGCCATTTTACAGGGATTATAAAGCAAATAAAAGTGGTGCTATTCTGGCTGAAAATAGGAGGAAGTCTGACAGACTTCCTCACCTACTAGTAGCTCCTTAGGGACCTTCCTTTAGCCCTGTCTCAATATTTTAGAAACTACTGCCTTAAGCACTTTATGGAAGGGACCCCTGGGGCCAAGGGAGGGGGAACCTCTTTGGAAGAATGGAAGAGGTCAGGCTTAAAAAATGCAACAGATTCAGAATGAAATCAGAGGGGTAGCTTGGAACAAATCCCTTCTTCTCATTCCTTGTCTCCTCTCTGCTTACTCTTTCCAGCAATTCTGGGCATGTACACACTGATGAGCAACAAGCAATACTATGATGCCATCTGCAGCGGAGAAATCTGCAACACTGAAGGCATTAGTAGTGAGTATGTTTGGGAGTGTGCCCCCCAGGGCTCTTGGCAGGAAGTCCTAGTCTGAGGAAAGGTAGCAAAGGATGAAACAGGTGAATCAGGGAGAGGACATGTGAATAAGTGATAAGAGAAGGGAGGTTTTGGGGGCCACAGGGTTTCCTTCCTGTCCTCACCCACAGGTGTGGTGCAGCCTGACAAGTATAAGCCAGTGCCAGATGAGCCCCCAAATCCCACAAACATCGAGGAGATACTAAAGAGTGTTCGAAGCAATGACAAGGAGCTGGAGGAAGTGAACCTCAATAATATACAAGTATTTGACCCCCATTCTTCAAATAATAATATTGGAATAACTGCTGATATGTGAGTTCCTTAGCCCACCATCTCGTCCTGTTCCCCTTTGACAGGACATCCCAATACCCATGCTCACTGAACTGTGTGAAGCCATGAAGACAAATACCCACGTCCGGAGCTTCAGTCTGGTGGCCACGAGGAGTGGTGACCCCATTGCCAATGTAAGGCTGGTTGACATCCCTGGTCCTCTCCCCATAACTTGACATGTATTCCTGGCAGGGCTGTCAGCAAGTTATGCTGGGGGTGCTATTCTTATCATGCTCTCTTAGGGTAGTCCTGATGGAGACTTCTACCCTCAGTTCTACAGCTCACAGCTCTGAAATCCTCAGATCACCTTCCCAAGAGCCACAACCCTCTCTACCAGCCCTAACTCTACTGTACACTTAATCTCCCTGCTTCCTCTACTACGTATCCTCACTTCCGTCTACCTCTAGCCCCATCTACAGCCCCTCAAGGACTTTTCTTAAAGAGCTGTGTTTCCCTCTTGCTCCTGGTCTTTCTCTCCTAAGTCATCTGTGAAACTCTTCCCTAATCCTAACCCAAGTCCCTACTACCCAGGCGGTGGCTGGCATGTTGCGTGAGAATCGTAGCCTCCAGAGCCTGAACATTGAATCCAACTTCATTAGCAGCACAGGGCTCATGGCTGTGCTGAAGGCAGTTCGGGAAAATGCCACACTCACTGAGCTCCGTGTAGACAACCAGGTCAGCATTCCTTTCCCTTGGGTTTTGCATTCAGCTAATACTAATTAAATCCCCTCCCTGAGGCAGCCACTGGGTCAGGATCACATCTGATCTAGTTTGATTTCTCTTAATATTGTCTCTATGACGGGAGCCAAATCAGCACCTCTCATCACCCACTCTGGAGAAACAAGCCTCTTTGGCCTCCCAAAGGGTGGGTGGTTTGGAATAATGAACAACCCAGAGAGGATGGCTGATAGCTTTCATCTCTCCCTCCCCCAGCGCCAGTGGCCTGGTGATGCCGTGGAGATGGAGATGGCTACTGTGCTTGAACAGTGTCCCTCCATCGTCCGCTTTGGCTACCATTTTACACAGCAGGGGCCACGAGCTCGGGCAGCCCAGGCCATGACCCGGAACAATGAACTACGTGAGTAACTGCAGACATGGTGTTAGGGGGTAGGGTCAAATAGGCGCAGAAGCTAGTGGATAGTCCTGAAAGCTGACTTAGTGACTAACTGTCAGGGGTGCTGCCAAAGTGATATTCACATGAAAAGTTTAAATCCTGTAAGTGGTCAGAAAGTAGATAGAAAAGTCCCCCTGCCCCAGATATATACCTGTAGAGAAATGAAAAGGAAGCTAGACATAGCTGTTTGGAAACATAGTATTTTTGTTGTTTCATTTCTTATTTTGTTTTATTAATGTGACGTGGGCATATTTGGTGGCCTAAGACATTACTTCTTTACAAGTCTGGTCAAGGAACTGGAAGGGAAAAGGCCACCTTTGCAGAGAAAAGAGATGGAACAAAACTTGTGTTTACTCTTCCTCCTTTACAGGTCGCCAGCAAAAAAAGAGATAACACTACCTTTGCCTTTACCATCTAGAGCTGGGAGCACTGAATGCTTAAATCCTCATCTTTCGCCCTTTCCTGTAAATAAAGGTCCTTCTATCCACTCTGCTTGTCTCCTTTCTTGGGCTTTAGGGTGGAAATCTTGGCGCTAACCCCCAAGGGTTACTGCCAGTTCATCTGGGGATTATTTATACTCTGGGGATCAACAGGCAGGGAGGTTCAAGTTACTAGGAAGAGGTGGGGGAGCTCCCTCCCTTGGTGTTCCCCATAACCCTGCCAATGCCTTTAGTCTCTTCTACTTTCACAGGATAACTAGCCTCAGCCCTGTTTCCAGAGGTGGCCATTACCCCCCCCCCCCCCGTGTCTACCCACAACCCTCATGTGATTTGAAGGAGGAAAGGATTTTGAGTAGAGGAAGTAAAGAAGGCAGACAACATGAAGGGCAAAGACCTCCTCTGACAGACTTATTAATAGGGCACCGGACTGCATGCAGCTGACGCTTGGCATGACTTTGGTAGAAGGTGGGGGAGGGGTTAGAAGTATGGGCAGCTGTGTACATTGCAGGGAAGGATTGGCTGGGCTGAGAACGAACACATCTAAAATGCTGAAATGGGACAAGGAACCAGACTTAAGGAAAGTTAGGCTCCCAGCGCCTGCTGTAGTTTATTTGTGAATTAAATGAGGAAAGAGGGTGTCAGTCCAAGGGGAGATCAGGAGGTTCATCTTCATCAGAGTCAAATTCAACATTCTCATCTTTTACCCATCGACCTCGTCCATCTGGAATCCATCCAGAGCTGGAAACATCAGAGAAAATAGAATTGGTTAGGAAAGGAGGTTTATTGAGAAGTCAGTGGGACAAGAAAAAAACAATTAAGAAGGTTTGAAAAGAGGAGGGTCATAGAAAAAAGGGAAAAGTGATTATGCATACTCACCTTCGAAGGGTCAGGTAATGATCCAGGGCTCGTCTTCTCCTAGGGCTCATAGGTGCAGAGGTTGAGACAGTTACTGACTCCTTAGCCTGTGGGCCAGCCGCAGGCTCAGGGTCCCCACTGGTCTTCCCACTTTGGAGTTCAACCGCTGGGGGTGGCAAAGGGGAAGGCGAGACAGAGGGACGAGGGGCTTCCAGTCTGGGTACAGAAGAATCAAAATCTGTCAAAGCAGTAAAGGAGAGGGCCATCTCTCCTGTGACTCCCAACCTGTTAAAGCATTGTTACCTAAACTGTGTTCTGCATGTTATTAATGTGTCCTGCATAGAAAAGCTTTTGCAATCAAATGAATTTAAGAAAGGCTAGGTTAAATTTTTTTAAGATTTTTATCTTAAGACTTTGTACAGCCCTTAAAATATACTACTGTTACTATTCTTCAAAAGTATCCTACTTCATAATCCTACAAAGTGCCATTTCTAAAACTTTTAAAATTTTATTTATTTATTATTATTTTTTATCCTCACTCAAGGACATTTTTTTTGCATTTACCTCAGGTACAGCAGGAGGGAGAGAGGGAGGAAGAAAGGGAGAAACATTGATGTGAGAGAGGCACATCGATTGGTTGCCACCCACATGACCCCAACCAGGGCAAGGACAAACTGCAACCAAGGTACGTGCCCTTAGTGGAAACCGAACCCAGGTCTCTCTGGACCGCAGGCCGACACTCTAACCGCTGAGCCAACCTGGCCAGGGCTAAAACTTTTTTTTTTAACCCTCACCCAAGGATATTTTTCCATTTATCTTCAGATAGAATGGAGGAAGAGAAGAGAGAGAAACATCAGGGTGAGAAAGACACATCGATTGGTTGCCTCCCGAACAACCCCGACCAGGGCCAGGGTCTAAACCACAACCAAGGTATGTGCCCTTGACCAGAAATGAACGCGAGACTCTTTGGTCTGAGGGGCGATGCTCTAACTGCTGAGCCAAACCAGCCAGGACCCAAAACTTTTGTTTTAATTACAAAATTATTTTTCCTGAAATACCAGTTAACATCTCTAGAACACTAGTGTTCTTGAGAATACAATTTGGAAAACAATCACTTAAGAACCATCAATGGGGAGGAGCGGGATTGAGAAAAAAGAAAAAAAGAAAGGACTCATTGATAGGACAACAGTGTGGTGATTGTGGGGTGGGGAGGTGGAGGTGGAAGAGGGTATAGGGGGTTAAATGATAATAGGAAAAAAAAAAATAGAACCATCTATCTCCTTTTGTTCCTCCCTACCCAACTTTTTCACCCCACAGACCTGTACTTCCCACGACAGCAACTGTTATAGTGAGGAGCTCTGTGCAGAGCATTCTGAGTGATAAGTCGAGTCTGAGTTAACAGAGGAGCCTGGAATGGAGATGGAAGACAGAGTCAAAACTTCTTTCTAGAAGCCAAATCCTTTCAAGCCTAAGTATGCAGTACAGTCCTCCTTGGAATACACACTTCCATCTCTGATTACCTCTCCTTTGGTCTCTTCCCTCTCCAATTCATTCTGCTGTCTTGGATTCTGCTCCATTCCCTTTCCTGGCTGCTTCTTGCCATAGAAAAGCTGCAGGCCTGAGAAGAAAGGGAAGAAATTTAAAAGCAGAGCATCATGAGTGGTCTGTATACATTTTATTGGTAGTAGTAGTATTAGTATTTTGAATATGTTTTTACTGATTTCAGAGAGAGGAAGGGAGAAGGAGAGAGAGAAACATTGATGAGAGAGAGACATGGACTGGATACTCCTGCACACCCCCTACTGGGGTTCGAGCCCACAACCCAGGCATGTGCCCTGAGTGAGAATCCAATCAGTAATCTCCTGGTGCAAGGGACACAGCTCAACCAACTGAGCCACACAGGCCCAGCTATTATTATTTTAATATGTTTTTTTTTTTAATCTTCACCCGAGGACATTTTTACACTTTTTGTTCAGACAGAGCGGGAGGAGAGGAAGAGAGAGAGAGAAACATTGATGTGAAAGGGACATACTGAGTGGCTGCCACCCGCGTGAGCAATCAGGGCCGGGGACAAACTGCAACCGAGGTACACGCCCCTAGCGGGAACCGAACCCAGGTCTCTGAACCGCAGGCCAATGCTCTAACCGCTGAGCCAAACCAGCCATGGCTAATATGTATTTTTTTAACCCTCACCCAAAGATATGTTTGTATTGATTTCTTTTTTTTTTTAGAGAGAGAGAGATCGGGAGAGAGGAAAAAAAATTGATGTGAGAGAGAAACATCGATCAGTTGCCTCCTATATGCACCCTGACAGGCGATCAAACCCAAAACCTAGGTATGACTGGAAAATCAAACCCGAAACCTTTTGGTGTACTGGAGGACTATCCAACCAACTAAGCCACCAGGCCAGGGCTTAAGGGTTTATTCTCTACCCCGTCTTCCTGCAAACTTACTGGACAAATGTTTCTTGCCTGCACGATGGGCAGTCAGCATGGTCAGGGTGTCCAGTACAGGTCGGTGGGGACAGATGGCACAAGCAAAGCTGGAGAGGAAAAAAAGAAGAAAAATAGTCCCTGGGGAGCCGGGGTCTCTGCCCTAGGTTCCACCCTGTCCTAGCAGTCCTTTCCAAAGCCCAACTCCCAACGATCTGATCGCAGTCTCCACCACCCACACCCCTGTCCCCTCATTCCCCACCAAAAATTCCTGCATACTCCCGCTCTCCTCCTTAATAACAAAAGTTTCTTGGGCCTCTAATCGCAGAACCCTCAGGCTTGATCCACTCTTCGCCCTCACCGTCCATCCCGTAGCATCAGCGCCTCATCCTCTGGTATATAACTGGCCAGCAGGTCCCCGACTCTTCGCTTCTGCAGAGGAAAGGGGAAGAAGTCCGGACGGATCAGCGGGATAGGAGGAAGGGGTAGAAGGGCGATGACAGGGACGAGGACTCAAAGGGACTAAAGACCATAGGGAGAACATAGGTCATAGAGCGAAGAAGGGGATACAACCCAGCACTAGTCGCCTGACTCCCTCCCGCCCCCCCGATCTGTTGCCAGAGCAACAAAACAACTCCTTCACTGCCTTCGGAGGGCAGTGGAAACTGCCTAGATGCGCCCCTCTCGCGCTTACTTTGAGCACATTGAGTTGACTCCAATCGTCCCCCTCTCTCTTGAAAGACATCACAATTGTGAGTCCCAGAAATATATTCTATTGCACCGCCTTCCCCACTCCTTTCAGGCCACCGTAGCTAGAGTAAGGCGTATCTCCTTTCCTTCTGGTCTCTTTCCGTTTGGCCTCCTTACTTCCGGGGACGCGCTTCCATGCATGCACTGCGCGATCCCGGAAGCCCGCCTTCAGTCCACCGAGGGGGACTGCATTTCCTATGATCCCCTGCGACTCCACGGACGCGGAGCCTTTTGGGAAGTGAAGTCTTTTTTTTCAAAGAGCTTGCCGCCGGCCGGATCGAGACCCTTGCACTAGTCATAGTGGAGGCATTTAAGGGAAAGATGTGGAACCCGAATTTGAGGGTGTGACTCATTTGATGCGGAGTGGGCTTCTGAGGAACTCTGAGTGCAAAGTGTACCTCAGTCTCTCGCAATCATCACGCGCTTTGTCGGCGGCGACAGCCCATCTGGGTGGGCCTTGATTTGTCCCCGACCCTAGCGGACCAACCCGGGACGCGGCGGAGCCGGGGTGCAGAGTGACCCGGCGGCCAGGCTGCCAGACCCTGGGCGAACTGAACCGAACGTAGAGGAAAGTGTCGAGGGTTCAAAGGTCAATGTCGCGAGTTGTAGAGGGTCGAAAGTCGGAGGGATACTAAGGAGAGGCTCAGGTAGGGACTGAATACTCTGAGTACAGATTTGTGGGAAAGGGGTTTGGAGGGCGGATAAGCGAGGGTGGAGGGCGTTGCGTAGGGCGACTTGTGAGAGAAGACAGAAAAGGAAAGGAATCTCCTGGTCGTCTGTTCCCAGCCCCCGGCCTGTCACTATCGGTTACTTAGTCGGGCGTCCCGCAGTTGCAATCCTAGCTGCCGGCAGGGTGAGGAGATGGCTTCTCCCTCTAGACAGGACCCCCTCGGGGGGTCAGGGCTGCTTAAAGGGAGCCGGGCTCGTTCTTATGGAAGCCTGGTGCAGTCTACCTGCTCCCCGGTGAGGGAAAGACGCCTGGAGCATCAGTTGGCGCCCGGAGACACCCTGGCTGGACTAGCACTCAAATACGGGGTGACGGTGAGTCTTCCAGGATTGGGATGTGAACAACCAGGGAGTATGTAGTGGCCCTTCTAGGGCATTTCCTCTGAAATTTTCCTCATTGTGTTGTGTTGTCTGATTCACCACTATCTTTTTGTTTTCCCATTTGCAGTCTGGTTGGAACAAATCCTGTCCCACTCTCTCAGTGGAGAGGAGCAGCTCCCTTTTATTATGCCAGTCACTATGCTAGGGGTTTTACATGCATTAGCCCATTTGGTCCTCACGTCCCTATGAGCATACAATTGCCCCCCTTTTTCAGATGAAGAAACTGAGACTTAGAGTGGTTCACCAATTTGACCAAGGTCAAATAACTAGTGAGCATTAAAGTGGAAATTCAAACAAGTCTCTCTGACTGCAAAATCTGTACTGATAGAACATAGAAACTTTTTGTTTTAATAATTTTTTTTTCCCTTTATTGATGTTAGAGAGAGAGGAAGGGAGAGGGAGAGAGAGAGATAGAAACATTGATGAGCCCTGGCCAGTTTGGCTCAGAGGTTAGAGTGTTGGCCTGAGATCCCGAGAGACCCAGGTTTGGTTCCCGCTAAGGGCATGAACCTCGGTTGCAGTTTGTCCCCAGCCCTGCTTGGGTTGTGTGTGTGGCAGCCATTCGATGTGTCCCTTTCACATCCATGTTTCTCTCTCTCTCTCTCCCTCCCACTCTATCTGAACAAAAAATAAATAAAGAAAGAAACATTGATGTGAAAGAATATCAACTGGACACCGCCTGCACATCCCCTGCTAGGGATGGGGCCCACAACCTGGGCTTGTGCCCTGACTGGGAATCAAACTGGCGACCTTTTGGTGCATGTGTCGATGCTCAACCACTGAGCCATACTGGCAGGGCTCTCCTGGTTCTTTTTTCCCCTCTCATTGCACTGCCTTCTTTCCAAGGTACTCTCTACACCAAGCATTTCAGGTCATGCATAGGGTATAGGTGATAAGTGTAAAAATATATTGCACTAAAGTTGATGAGTTTTTGTTTTTTTTCTTCTATATCCTATTGAATTTAACCGAAGTTTTTTTGTTTTAAATATTTTTTCTTTATTGATTTTTAGAGAGAGAGGAAGGGAGAGGGAGAGATAGAAACATCGATGAGAGAGAACATCAATTGACCACCTCCTGCATGCCCGCCACTGGGGATTTGGCCCACAACCTGGGTATGTATCCTGACCAGGAATCAAACCGGTGACCTCTTGGTGCATGGGTTGACGCTCAACCACTGAGCCACACCGGCCAGGCTTAACCAACGTTTTTATGCTTGGTAGGTTTAAACACTCTGGTAACCATTTTGGGGGATACAAACATAAGTAAAAACGTGTAGTTGTTGCCCTCATATGATTTACAGTCTAGTGAGAAATGAACAGGGACACAAACAGTGATTGTAGGTAACAGAATGTGATGAGTTGGAAGAAGTATTAACAAAGGATGGGAAATCAGTAAAAAAGATTAATTTTATTTGGAAGGGAGTAGGGGTGGACATCAGTGTAGATTTCAAGGGAGCCATCAGGAAAGGCCTTGAAAGACTTCGAATTTTCTTCCTCATTGCTGCTGTCTACAAATCCATGTAATCCAGTTGTTTGCATTGTTCACATCTTTGTCTTTCCAATAGCCTATACTCTCCTTAAGGGATAAAACAATTTTCTTTCAAAAAATTTTTATTGATTTTTTTTTTTAGAGAGAGAGAGAGAAGAAGGGAGGGAGAAAGAGAGAAACATCGATTTGTTGTTCTGCTTATTTACAGATTCATTGGTTGATTCTTGTATGCCCTGATCGGGGATTGAACCTGCAACCTTGTTGTATTGGATGACACTCTAACCAAAAGAGCTACCCGGCCAGGGCCTTCTTTCAGTTTTATAGCTGTAGAGCCTGGCATAGTTCCCAACACATAAAGCTTAATAAAAAAAAAATTCAACTTATCTTTATTGTTAAATGTATTACAGATGTCTCCCAATAAATTTTTAAAAAATAAATGAAAGATTTTCAGATATGGAGACTGGGAGTTCAGGAACATGAACATTTCAAGTAGACAGCATGATCTAAACAAAGGAAGTTGACATAAAAGTACTGAATAGCACCTCCCCCATCCCCAGCAAAGACTCAGAAGTTGTGTGAGAGGGGAACTGTGCTATGAGTAAATCAACAATTATTTATTTATTGAGGTTTTTGTACAGCTCTGTACCTTTCTGAGTATAGAAAAGCCCTTTAGTGAAGAAGTCTAGGTTCTGGCCTGATTCTGCTGCTCACTAGCTTAGTGAGTACATAAGTCTTTTCCCCTGTCTGGTGCCTCAGTTTCCTCACCATTTGTAAAATGAGGAAGATGTATTAAATAATGATAATTAACTAAGTTGTTACCTATGTATCATGTAAAGGACACTTAGAATATGTCAAGCTCTAAATGTTATCTAGTATGATCATCATAAGACTTTATGAAGTTGGTAGGGGTAACCATTCCATGTAAAGACGGAAACTTTTTATAACAAAAGAAAAAAAACTAAATAAATACTGAAATCTATAATAAAAATAAATAAATAAAAACCGGGAAACTGAGGCTTAGGGAGATAACTTTCCATAGACTACACAACTAGTCTAATTAGCAAAGCTAGGATGCAGACCATGTTGTCTAATTCTAAAATCCTCACTTATGCCCAGCCTTTGTGGCCCAGCTGGTGTGGCTCAGTGGTTGAGTATCTACCCATGAACTAAGAGGTTACTGGTTCAATTCCCAGTCAGGGCACATACCCAGGTTGTGGGCTCAATCCCCAATAGGGAGCATGCAAGAGGCAGCCCATCAATGTTTCTATCTCCTCTCTTCCACTCTCTCTAAAATCAATAAAAACATATTAAAAGAATAATAATAATAATATTCTCACTTTTTACTGCTCTGTTAAACTAACTAGACTCTAATGGCCTATGTAGCTCATAATGACTGGCTTGATGGCCTAGGACTCCTGGTTTTGGCCTTGGTTACATCCTTTTTAAGAGTAGAATGATGTTCCCTTATATGGTACTTCTAGGAAATAACAAAAGCCACAGAAAATTTACAGGTTAATATAACATCTTGGAGCTAGAAGGGACCCAGGTTATTATCCAGGCAAAATAAAATTAATAGCATCAAAGCACTTGGCAAAGTAAAAGTACAAAACTGCAAACCAATTTTAACTTTTTTATTGTTCAGATTAATCTGGTTTTATTTTTAAACACATCATAGCATAAGATTTTATTAGTCAAATTTATTATAATAGTCTTGCCCCAGGGTGGAAACAACTTAGATATTTGACAGGCATAAGAAACATGATTTCCCAAACTGATGCCAATATGGGATGAATTTTTAGTAAAACTGGCTGCCTGGCCTCTGATAATAAAATACTGATGTACTATATCTGTGGTTTCTATATTTTATTATCTAGTTTGTTTATTCATAAAGCATTAATGAGCTTCTGCTGTGTGCCAAGTTTGTGCAATGCTAAGGAGCACCTTAGAGATACAGACAGCAAGTTTCCATCCCTGCCTTTAAAGGACTCAACAGAGTTTGAGCAAATATGCAAAGAGGTGAATAACAATATAATAGGGTAGGTATTATTACAGCGATATTTAGAATATGGGAGCCCTGAAGAAGGTAACACAAAGGGAGTAACAGTTGATAGGTAGAATTTTTTCAGTCAGAGAAGGGGATAGTGGAGAAGCATTTCAGGTAGATGAAGACACAAAAGTGTGAAAGATCATGAACTGTTCAAAGAAAAATGAGGATGGCAAAATGTATATATGACAGAAGAAGAGAGATGAGGCTAGGCATTATGGGGGCTAGATTGAGGATGCCCTTGAATGCTAAGTTGGATTTTAACTGAGCCAATGAGGAGCCATAGGAGGTTTATAAGTAATGAGTTGATCATAATAACTGTTTTTTTACTCTTCACCCGAGGATATTTTTCTATTTATCTTCAGATAGAGTGGGAGGGAGAAAAAGGGAGAGAGAGAAAAACATCGACTGGTTGCCTCCTGTATGACCCCCATCAGCACCAGGGACAAACCACAACCGAGGTATGTACCCTTTGCCAGAATCAAACCCACGACTCTTTCGTCCATGGGAGGAGCTCTACAACTGGGCCAAACCAGCCAGGGTGATCATATTAATTTTTTTTTTTTTATCCTCACCTCAGGACATTTTTTTCCGTTTTTTGCACAGATAGAGTGGGAGGGAGAGAGAGGAAGAGAGAGAGAGAGAGAGAGAAACATCGACGTGAAAGGGACACATCGAGTGGCTGCCACCCGCATGACCAACCAGGGCCCGGGACAAACTGCAACCGAGGTACATGCCCTTAGCGGAAACCGAACCCGGGTCTCTCCGGACCGCAGGCCAATGCTCTAACCGCTGAGCCAAACTGGCCAGGGCTGATCATATTAATTTTTAAAGAAAGATAGATGTGCCGTGGCTCAGTTGGTTGGAGTGCCATCCTGTGTACTGGAAAGTCTCAGGTGCAATTCCCATTCAGGGGACATACCTTGAGTGCAGGCCTGAACCCCAGTTGGGGCATGTGCGAGAGGTAACCGATCTGTTTATCTCACTCACATTGATATTTCTCTCTCTCTCTCTCCCTTCCTCCCTCTCTTAAAAAAAAGAAGAAGAGCCCTGGCTGGTTTGGCTCAGCGGTTAGAGCATCGGCCTGCGGTTCAGAGAGACCCAGGTTCAGTTCCCGCTAAGGGCACGTACCTCGGTTGCAGTTTGTCCCGGGCCCTGGTTGGTCGTACGGGTAGCAGCCACTCGATGTGTCCCTTTCACATCGATGTTTCTCTCTCTCTCTTCCTCTTTCTACCTCCCACTCTATCTTAACAAAAAAGTGTAAAAATGTCCTCGGGTGAGGATAAAAAAAAAAGAAGAAGAGCCCAGCTGGTGTGTTTCAGTGGTTGAGCATTGACCCATGCACCAAAAGGTTGCTGGTTCGATTCTGGGTCAGGACACATGCCCAGGTTGTGGGCCTGATCCCCAGTGGGGAGCATGCAGGAGGCAGCCAATCGATGTTCTCTGTCCCTCTCACTTCCTAAAATCAATAAAGGGAAAAAAAAATTTTTTTTAAATGAAACTTCCTTCTTTAAATAAAAAAGAAGCAGCAACAGCAGCCCTGGCTAGTTTTGGTCAGTGGTTAGAGCGTCGGCCTGGAGACCAAAGAGTCGTGGATTCAATTCTGGCCAAGGGCACGTACCTCAGTTGTGGTTCCTCCCCGGCTCTGGTCAGGGTCATCTGGAGGCAACCAATTGATGTGTCCCTCTCAAATCGATGTATCCCCCCCCCCCCAATTCTATCTGAAGATATTTAAGAAAAAGTATCCTTGGGTGAGGATTAAAAAAAAGAAGAGCCCTGGCCAGTTTGGCCCAGCAGTTAGATCGTCAGCCTGCAGACTAGAGAGTACCAGGTTTGGTTCCTGCTAAGGGCATGTACCTTGGTCGCAGTTTGTCCCCAGCCCTGGTTGGGGTCATGTGGGTGGCAACCACTTGATGTGTCTCGCTCACATCAATGTTTCTCTCTCTTCCTCCTTTTCTCCCTCCCGCTCTATCTGAAGATAAATGCAAAAATGTCCTTGTGTGAAGATAAAAAAAACCCAGTTGGAGTGGCTCAGTGGATTGAGCGTCGTCCCATGGACTGAGAGGTCCTGGTTTGATTCCTAGTCAGGGCACGTGCCTGGGTTGCAGGTTCAAAGCTCCATAGAGGGTGTGCAGGGAACAGCTAATCAGTGTATCTCTCTCACATCGATGTTTCTCTCTCTCCCTTCCTCTCTCTCTAAAAAGTCAATAAAAACAGCCCTGGCCGGTTTGGCTCAGCGGTTAGAGCATCGGCCTGTGGTCCGGAGAGACCCGGGTTCAGTTCCTGCTAAGGGCATGTACCTTGGTTGCAGTTTGTTCCTGGCCCTGGTTGGTTGTGCGGGTGGCGACCACTCGATGTGTCCCTTTCACATCGATATTTCTCTCTTTCTCTGTTCCTCTCTCTCCCTCCCACTCTACCTGAACAAAAAATGGAAAAAGGTCCTTGGGTGAGGATGATAAAAAATAATAATAATAAAAAATAAAAAATCAATAAAAACATATTTAAAAAAAGAAGAAGAAGAAGGATAGATGTCAGTAGGGTGAAGGATGAGTAGAAATGGAGAGAGAAAGACCAGCTAAACATGCAGTACCCAGATAAGAAATACTAAGAGTTGTTTTAAACTGATGGAAGCAAACTAAAGATGAAACCAAATATGGGAGAGTTTTACAGCACTTCTGTTGACACTTGGGTATGGATGGTGAAAGAAAGGTATGAGTAAAGGGTGACTTTGATATTTCTGCCTTGGGAGGCAGGTAGATAGATGATTATGCCAGTCACCATATTCAGTGATGAATAAGTAGGTACTAAATAAATATTTGATCAATGAAATTATTAATATTGTAGTGTCGAAGGCATTCCCAGAGGGAGTAAAAAGACCCTAGCTCTGTCATTAACTTGATAGTTAATCTTAAGCAAGTAACTTAACCTCCTTAGCATCAGTTCCTTCATCTTTAATAGAAGTTCTCAAAGTGAGATCCAGGGACCCATAGGGGTCCCTGAAACTCTTCAGAGATCCACAAGGTCAAAACTATTTTCACAGTAATAATGAAATATTATTTGCCTTTTTTATTCTATTCTCATGAGTCTACTGTTTTCAAGAGGCTAATATCATGTGAATCGGCAATTTCAGTTTATTCTAATTAGCTAGGAACAGTACATAAAACTAGCTGAAACTTGAGATACAGTTTTACTTTTAAATAAAAAAAAAAGAGACTATATCACATGTGATATTGCAAGAGACTGTAAAGACAGATGAGCGAATCTGGTTTTCTATTAAGTCAGACATTAAGGTGATTTGCAAAAATGTAAAACTGCCTCTCATGGCATTTTTTTGTTATTATTTTGGAATCTAGTTATTTTTTCATTAAAATATTTATGTTAACATGTAATAGGTTTATTATTTTAAATAAATACATGTTTTTAAACATTTTCTGTTTTAATTTATAATACCTTAAATATTTATAGCTATAATTACATAAAGAAAAGCTTTTCTCCACAATAAATTTTTTTTAATCCTTACCCAAGGATATGTTTATTGATTTTAGAGAGAGAGAGGAAGGGAGAGAGAGAAACATCGATGTGAGAAATATCAATTGGTTGCCTCCCATAGGCACCTTGATCAAGGGTTGAACCTGCAACCTAGGTATGTTGCCTGACCTGGAATTGAACCTGCAACCTTTTGGTGTATGGGATGACGCTCCAACCAACTGAGCCACTCGGCCAGGGCTTCCCTCAATAATTTTTAAAAATGTAAAAGGGTCCTAAGACGAAAAGGAATGAAAACCACTGATCAATAAAACAGGAATAAGATCAGCCCTTTGTACTTTAGCTTGGTTGTTATAGGGTCATATATGACTCTGTACAGCCTTGGCCGGTTTGGCTCAGGGCTTAGAGTTCTGGCCCATGGATCGGAGGTTCCTGGGTTCGGTTTTTGCTAGGGGCATGTACCTTGGTTGCGGTTTGTCCCCAGCCCTGGTTGGGGTTGTGGGTGGCAACCACTTGGTGTGTCTCTCACAAGAGACACATCAATATTTCTCTCTCTCTCTCTTCCTCCCACTCTATCTGAGGATAGATAAAAAAATGTCCTCAGGTGAGGATAAAACAACAAAAAAAAGACTCTGTACAGCCCTGGCCAATTTGGCTTAGTGGTTAGAGCATTGGCCTGAAAATCAGAGACATGGGTTTGATTCCTGGTCAGGGGTACATACCTGGGTCTCATTTTGATCCCCGTCCAAGTCAAGGTTGTATGGGAAGCAACCAATTGATACATCTCTCTCACATCGAAGTTTCTCTCTCTCTGTCTCCTCTCTCTCTTCCACTCTAAAAATCAATGGAAAAATATCCTCAGGTGAGGATTAACAACAACAAAAAGACTGTACAATCACTTTCTTTTAAAATCTTCACCCAAGGATATGTTTTTCATTGATTTTAGACAGAGAGGAAGGAGAAAAAGAGAGAAGCATCGATGTGAGAGAGAAACATTGATGGTCTGCCTCCCATATGCACCCAACTGGGAATTGATCCCGAAACCCAGATATGTGCCCTGACTGGCAATTGAACCTGTGACCGGTGTACAAGATGACACTCCAACCAACTGAGCCACACCAGACAGGGCTGTACTTTTAAAGACATTAGATACTATACAAGTATAACTTTTTTAAAAATTGATTTGAGAGAGAGAGAGACATCAATTTGTTGTTCCACTTATTTAAGCATTCGTTGATTGACCTCTGTATGTACCCTAACTTGGGATCAAACCCACAACCCTGGTGTATGGGAATGACACAATAACCCACTGAGCTACTCAGCCAGGGCTTATACAAATATAATATTAATCATTATTACTGTCATTAATTGTGCTGACTATTTTTTTTTAAGATGGAACAGATTAAACGTGCAAACCGCCTTTATACTAATGACTCCATCTTCCTGAAGAAAACCCTCTACATCCCCATCCTGACAGAGCCCAGAGACCTGTTCAATGGTTTGGATTCTGAGGAAGAGAAAGATGGAGAGGAAGAGATACCGCCAAGTAAGGATGAAGTTTGGTCACACTCAGCCGAGAGGAATAAACAAGAGACAGGTTCTGGATGTGCCCATGGTGAATTCCTCCCTACACCTGGCCAGGAACCCCCCACTCCCATCCATGACCTTTCTGCCTCTGATTTCCTTAAGAAGCTTGATTCACAGATCAGCCTGTCAAAGAAGGCTGCAGCACAGAAGCTGAAAAAAGGAGAAAGTGGGTGAGTGTTAATGGTTCTTTTTAAGCCCCTTCATAGACTTCTCTGTTCTTCCAGCCTTACCTGACCAGATACACAAGTAAGTAAGCTGTGTCAGCAGAAGCAAGGCGAATCCTTTCCTCTAGGTGGCCCCAAGACCATGAGCAGAGTCAATGGCTGCTGGAATGCGTAGAGGCAGTGGGAAACAGTTTTGTGTTCTCACTGGAGTAAAATAGTTGACTCTTCTTACTGCTCTGATGATCCATGAAGGAGCATTAGGATATATTAGGAAAAGAGGACGGCTTCCCACGTCCCTCATCACTTGGCCATTCTCAGATTCTTCCCTTGACGTGCCACTCTTTCTCTCCTCTCCTCATTTGCAGGGTACCTGGGGAGGATTCAGGTCTTCACCGGAGCTCCCCGCGGTTGCAGCAACGGGCAGTCCTAGGTCCTGTGCCACTGACCCGGACCTCTCGAACCCAGACACTTCGGGAGCAGGAGGATGAAATCTTCAAACTCTGATGTCTCCAGAACTGATTGAGAGAAGCAAGATGGTGAAGGAGCAACTTGAGGGGGAGAGGAGCCTGAGGTGAGGCTCAAGAACACGGCTTCCCAACCCGCCTTCCTCACTCCTGCCCAGCCTCATTGTCCCATCAAGAGTTCCTCCGCCAGAGGCAGTTTTTTTGGCAAGAGTAGGGGGTGGGGAATTAGACCCCTTCTCAGTTTTTGGGCTGAATCTAAAGTTGTACTTTAGATTCCAAAGGTTCTTTTTACATCCCTACTGCCTTTCCCATCCCTTTCACCATTCCTTGGCCTTAGAGCAAGGAGGCAGGGACTGTCCCCAGCCCCCAAACTTCTTCCTCATCTCCAACTATGTGACCTAATTTATTTGGTGCTATATTGAAGTAATATTTATTTGCTGTATTTTATTCTTTCCCACTCTTGTCTGAAAAATGGGGTTTTTATAGCCATGGTGTGAGGGAAACCCAGGAACAGTGAGCCAGTGACTGCTGGCTGCCCACCTTCCCCACCTTCTTAGCCAAGCGTGTTACTGAGAATGGGCAGTGATCTAACCCACTGCAGAAATGGTAGATTGTGCCAGGTCTTTTCCTCAACCTCTAAGTAAAGAATTTGGGCCTGGTCTTGACTGACCAGTTCACTATAACTTTTTCACAACATTTTTCTCTGAGAAAAAAAACAATGATGTAGGTACTGGAACTCCTCAATTCACCTTTATAACCTACTCCTCTGTTCAGCCTGTGTGAGGCTAAGGGATGGAAGAAGAATTGCCTTGGAGTTTGAAGAGGAGGACAGTCGGGAGTCCTTTTGTTGTGGGAGTCTTTTTGTTAAACCCCTCCCCACCAGAGCCTGTTGATCTATGCCTTGCTCCTCACTGCATATTTATTTGCAATTTGTAGCACTAACCTGCAGTTCAGTGTTTTTGAGTTTCTTAAACAAAAGTAGGCAAGGGAACCCCAATGATACGGAAATATGCCTGAGTGTCCTGTATGGAAATGGTGAGTGGTGAGATAAGTGGTGTTTATGTACCACCATGATGATCATAAGATATAAGAAGCTGGAGAGATTAAACACTGAGCCCTGTGCATGTTTTAGTAGTTTTATTTCCCCTATGAGACTCTCCCCTGCCCTAGCCCCTTCTTCCTGTTCTCTGGAACAGAGCCTCTGGTATCTGTCCTGGCTCTGCCTCGAGCTGGAGGTCTAGGATGTCTCAAAGGGCCACCTTCTCCCCTCTGTAGTGTCCCCAGAGGGGTTAAATAGGCACTACCCTCTTCCCCTAGTTCATAGGGGAGGGGGCTTCCCTGTTTCACACATCCCTTATGGAGGAAATAAGAGATCCAAGTTTCATTTCGGCTTTTCAGGCAGCTTTGTTTCCTGGCCCGGGGCTGGAGTGGGAGAGAGGCCTCAACCCTCAGCATTGCTTCTTCTCCACCAGCAGTTTGGGGTGGTGTGGTCTCAGAGTCCAAAGCACTCTTGGGGAAAACGGAAGCCTGAGGACTGAAAGCGTTAGTGCAGATGAGCAGGGTTAGGAAGCCCATTGTCCGCTGTGTTCTCCGCCGGCCATTCTGTCAAGGCGGAATGTGCTGGGTTCAGGGCGCTCAGAGCTTTCCCTCATCCAGCAGCTTCCTGAGCCCATCACAGATCTTGCCGAGGTGCTGCGTGAAGTCAGGGCCATAGAGAGCGGTGAGCAGGCCTGGGTCGGAGAAGTGATCGAACACACGGCGGATGCGGCTGTGCGACTTGGGCGTGAGGTGGTGCTGCACCAGCTCCAGCAGCATGTCCCGGCACTCGGTCAGCAGGCCGGCCAGCACGGCAGCCTCGAAGGTGAAGTCCACCTCGCCGAAGCTGAGCGCCGTCATGGCGCCCTGCTGCAGTTTTTGCCGAAAGCGGGTAGCCAGGGCCAGCTCACTGGGGCTGAAGCATCCACTGCGGTGCAGCACGGCCACCTTGACAGCCACCTTGATGAGGTCCTTGATAACGCGCTGGGCCTGTGGCCGGCTCTGCGTGTACTCTTTGGACACACGGTAGAGCTCATCGAGCACCTCACTGCTCGTCTCGTCGATGAAGAGATGAGCCACAGACCGACCTGCCATCTTACTCAGTAGCTTCTTCTCCGCCTGCAGTGCCAGACTCTTTGAGCTGAAGGACTCCATGGTTTCTGGAGAAGGAGGTGGGGGTGGGAGTGGGGGTATGTGGTCAGTCAGAAGAAAGACCACAGGCTTCCTTAGAAAGAGAGAGATGGCTTTTCCCCTTTCTGTCTCTTCATCTTTGCTTGTCATCATTTCCCCCCTGGGCCCCAGTCCCCTATGCCTTGTTCCTATTTTTTTCCCTTTACTACTGCAAGAAATCTTGACCTCTAAAACAGCCTAGAGGAGCAGAGGCGCTTTGGCTGGAGGAATGGGGCACACAGGAGGCTAGCCCATCACAAGTTAAGTTTTAAGGGGAAGTAGGCTATTTCAGCTATAGTGGAAAAGATAAGGCTTGCTGGCAAATACTTCTCCCAGCTGCCATTTTGGACACTCATCTGTGAGGTGTAGGTCTTACTATCCTTGGTTTAGGATAGTAATTTACCCAAGGTCAAGCACTACTGTTTTTTTAACTCCAAAAGCCCATGTCAACTAGTGTGATATACTGCCTTTAAATAAGTGAGAAATATGTGGGCCCTAGGAGTCTAGATAAAGATAATAACTGACACTTATTGAGAACCTACTGTGTGCCAAGTGCTTTATGTGAATTATCTCAGTAAGATAGATATCCCTATTTTACGAGAAAACTGAAACTAAGTGAAATCAAGCAACTTGGCCAAAGTCACTTGCAAATGATAAAAATGGGCTTCAAACCAAATAATCCAAAGAAACTTCCTTCCCTGGAATGCTGTCAGTGCTGTTGAAGCACACTGAGGAAGCATGAGAAACAGCACCTCAGCAGGGGCAGGCAGTACCAGGTCTGCTGGGCCTGAACTGGGGACCTTCCGGGGGGCCCATCAACTGTATGTGTCCAGGGTTCTCTCCCCATGGTCTTTGCCTAGGGTTCTTCTGGTTGTTTTGTTTCTTACTTCCCCCTCCTCTGCTCTGCAGGATGTGGCTGTGACCGCAATGAGGAGCAGCCTCACCCTCTCCCCCAAACCAAAATGGGAGTCTGAAGAGTCTGGCGAGATGGGTACCTGGGGGGGGGGGGGATTTCTTTCCCAGCTGAATCAGTCCAATGGGAACCTGGAACCTCGTCTTGTTCCTGGCTTTGGGGCTTTCTGAACCATGTTTTACAGCTGGGAGAGGAGATTGCTCCATTTGAACCTTCCTTCCTCCTTGGCCTTCCTGTTAACCCAGCTCTAGTTACCCCTGTTGCCATCTCTTGCTTGGTCCACTGCCCTGTCCCTCTCTCCCTTTTTCTCTTGTCTGGGACCTGCCCTGTGATCCTCCGGCATTCTCTCCCCCTGGCCCTTACATTTACTTCCCTGTCTCCTAAGATTTTCTTACATCTCTCAGTACTCTGTCACACACCCACCTCCACCCCCATGCCTCAGCCCTGCCTCCACCCCATCCCAAAGCACGTCTGTCTTTCTGAGGCTGCCTTGCCCCAGGGAAAACTGAATTAGATGTCTCCACTGGAGACCAAAGAATGCTATCAAGTTAGTCTCTCAATATGGAAAGATCAGGCTGACAGAGGCAGGACTCTTCTGCCACCATCTCCCCTAAAGCCTACCCTTCTGTCATTGCCAGTCCCTCACCTGCTGCGCACTGGGTGCCAGTCTTGCCTTGGATGTTCCGGAAGAGCTGACAGAATGGAGAAACTCCTAAGTGAGAGGCCCTTTGGCCTGGCCCCACCCTTCAAGCCCCGCCTACCTACTCTGCTCAACCTCCGGTTCTTCATTTCACCAAGAAGGTCTATAGGTCAAAAGGAATAGAACTCTGTAGGAAATAGTCTTGGTTCTTTGAGGTGAGGAGAGGGGATTATGTATACCCTGTTTTCAAATTGTTTGTCTGCTTGTTTCTTTCCTTACTGCCTAATTCTTTGAAATCGTGTTCTTATATTTCTGTTACTGGAAAGGCTATAAAGTAGAGATTGCTGGGGTGGGGGGTCAATGGGGAAAGTTCTGAAGATTCAACTGAATTTAAGCTGGAGATGCCGGAGGCAAGCCAGAGACCAACAGACCTGAGTGTGTGCCTGGAGTCTCCAGGGGAAGGTGGTGCTGTGGGGCAACGTTACCACGAGCACATGCTTCCAGTGCCTGGCTGGGCTAGGGTGGCACCGACTGTCCCCACCCTTAATACTGGAGAGAGGAAGATGCCGGACCAGGGCTGCCAAACCAGTTGTGACCAGCAGGTGTCAGTACAGCATTGAACCACTACCATCTGTACTTTGTAGCTGTTAAAGAGATAAAAAATGAAGGTAAGTCAGAGTTCCTAAATGAGACAAAACTATTTACCTCAAAAAGCTTACAGCCCTAGCTGGGTAGCTCAGTTGGTTACAACATTGTCCCCACACACCAAGGTCGTGGGTTCCATCCCCAGTCAGGGCACACACAAGAAGCAACCAATGAATGCATAAATAAATGGAAGAAATCGATGTCTCTCATCAGTGAAGAATCATGAGAATACAGTCGTCCCTCGCCACTTCGCGCTTGGACTTTCATGCCTTCACTCTATCGCAGTTTTTTTCTATATATGGAAAAACCAGATAGAGTGAAGCCGGGAAAGTCCAAGTGCGAAGTGGCGAGGGACGACTGTATATAAACAAAGAATCATAGTTCGCGGAAATTCATTTATTGTGATAGAATTTGTAAATTATAAACCACGATAAATGAGGGCCAACTGTAAAGAAAAATTTAGATTATTTTTGATAGGGCTTAAGAAGCAAACTTGGATGGATTTAACTATTTAATAGGCAGATGTGAGGAAGAAGTACTTCCCAGATGATGAGGATAAGCATAAGCCATACAGTGAATAAAGATAATACGTGGCATATTCAGGAAGTGGTGATTTATTCTGAATGACTGGAGCATAAGTTGTTTGAGAGAGAAGTGAAGTAGGAAAAAGACACAATGGAAGGTTTTATAAGCTCAAGGCTTCAGACTTTTCCCATAGGCAGTAGTCAGACATTACAGGTTTTCTTTTTAAAATATTTTTTCTTTATTGGTTTTAGAGAAAGAGGAAGGGAGAGGGAGAGAGTGATAGAAATATCAATGAGAGAGAAGATCGATTGACCGCCTCCTGCACGCCTCACACTGCGGATTGGGCCACAACCTAGGCATGTGCCCTGACCTCTAATTGAACTGGTGACCTCTTGATGCATGGGTTGAAGCCCAACCACTGAGCCGCACTGGCCAGGCCAGACATTATAGGTTTTCCATCAGGAAAGTGAAATCATTAGCTCAGTGTGGTTGGGTTAGAGGCTTCAATAAACTTTTAGCTGAGAAGGGTGTGCTTAAAAGAAGTGATCAATGGCATGGCTTGCTTAAGCACAGGGTGAGTACTAATGAGAAACCTTGGAATTTGGTGATTTTATCAGAAGTTCTAGCAAAAGGGGAAGAATTGAAAAGTTAGCTGGTTGTGAAAAGTTGAAGAGTACATTGAAGTTCAGAAGTCGGGACAATCAGCATATCACTGACTCCCAAACCATTGTCTCCTCCTTGGAGACAGTGGTTGGATCTTGACTATTTTTTAACCCCTGCCTGTCTGAGCCCAGGGTCCAGAGCTGAGGGTCCTTGATACAACATGCATGGGAAGTGTTAACTCCTTTAAGGAGTGTGGTGGTAAAAGGATGTAGAGAAATAGAAAGGTAGCTTAAGGGGATGGGAGTTGAATTGAAAGAGGGACTATTTTTAGCTGAATTTGAGGACATTTGTAGGCTGAGAGGAGTGAGCTAGTGGAGAGGGAGGCTTAGAAAATGCAAAGGAGGAAGGGCATACATATGGAGCACGGTGTGGTGTGGGGGCAGATGGAAGAGAGTGGACTAGGAGTTCAGGGAAGGGAAGTGAGAGGAGAAAAGGAGCTAGCATTTATTGATTGCATTTTGCTATATGTTATGTAAATATCTCATTTAATCCTTCAATACCATAATGAATTAAGTGTAAGGATATCCTTCTTGATATGAAAAAGACTGAGGCTTAAAAAGGTTAAATAACCTGCCTCCAAATTTGAGAACTAGTAAATGGCAGATTGCAAACCTTGTATGATTCTCAAGTATATGCCTTTTCTGATAACTACTTCACAAGGTTATGAGGTAATAACTTCAATCTCATAATGAATGTGACAGCATTCTACTCAGTTGCTCTATCAATTAACTGACCACACCATCCTCTGAGGACAGGAGTAGGTGGCACTACTCAAATCACGGGAATAGTAAAAGTCCTTTTTAATGAAAAGAAATGCATGATCTAGTTGGAAAATAAGAAGGGGAGTGAAAATACAAGAAGATGCAAACAAAGTAATACCTTCTGAATGCAGAATTCTGCTACCAAATCCTTATCTATTTACCCCTCCAGCTTCACTCCTTGTCTGTCTCTTGTACTCTATTCTACCTGTTTTATAATTCTCAGTTCCCACCCTGGCTAGCTCAGTTGGTTAGAGCATCATCCTAAATACGCCAAGGTTGCAAGTTTGATCTCTGGTCAGGGCACATACAAGAATCAACCAAATGCCGGCTGGTGTGGCTCAGTGGTTGAGCATTGACCCATGCACCAAGAGGTTGCCTGTTCAATTCCCGGTCAGGACATATGCCCAGGTTGTGGGATAAATCCCCAGTAAGAGGCATGCAGGAGGCAGCCAATTGATGTTCTCTCTCATCAATGTTTCTATCTCTCTCTCCCTCTCTCTAAAATCAATAAAGAAAAAAAAGTTAAAAAAAAAAAGGAATCTACCAATGAATGCATAAATAAATGGAACAACAAATCGATGTTTCTCTTTTTAAAAATAAATAGCCCTGGCTGGTTTGGCTCAGCAGTTAGAGTGTTGGCCCTGTGGACCAGAGTCCCGGGTTTGGTTCCCCCTAAGGGCATGTACCTTGGTTGCAGTTTGTCCCCACCCCTGTTGGGGTCGTGTAGGTGGCGACCACTTGATGTGTCTCTCTCACACATCAGTGTTTCTCTCTCTCCTTCCTGCTCTCCCTCCTGCTCTATCTGCAGGAAAAAATAAATAGATCAATCAATCAATCAATCAGTCTCAGTTCCTCCACTACTCACCATGGTCGGTTTTTCTCTCTCCCTCTCCTTCCACCTCCTCCTGTGCTCTAGGCTTTCCCATTCCCTGTCTCTGCCTGGTACTCTCTTCCCATGCGTACCTCTCCCTGCCTTGTGAATTCCTACTCCTTCAGGATTCAGCTGGAAAGTCATAACTTCTGTGAAGCTGTCATAACTCCCTAAATTACATTAGACACACCTGTTATGTAGTCGTGTAGAACTGCATACTTTTCCTATTATAATACCAGTCTTCACTGTGATTAGTGACTTTATTACCTGCCTCCCCACTAGACTGTAAACTTCATGAGGGCAGGGATTATGCTTTAGTGCCTACACCGTGCCTGGCACTACTGTGCTCAAATATTTGCTTAAAGAATAAATTCAAAACACATCCAAGACCAGACATAATAACAATCACATGAAATAATGTTCATTTACCTCACTCATGGGGAAGTCTTTCTTTTATTTTCTCTTAATCTATACCATTTCTAGTAATCATCTCCGAACCCACAGCATATAATTAGCTGCAAATTAAGAGTAAAAAGGAACTTTCAGAAGCAACACTGATAACAATGAACATTAACACAGAAAGCAAGGGAAGACTAGGAAAACAAAAAAGCAGACAATTGAAAATTGTAGCGTTGTTTCAGTTACATAGAGGAGGAGTAAACAGTATTAAGTACATATATTCGAGACTTTGGAGTCCTCACCTGTTTTCCTGGACAATTAAGTTCACAGTACTTCTGAGGGAGCAAAAAACTGGTTAAATGATGGTATCTTGAATGTGTGAAACATTCAGATTTACAAAATATTTTACTTACATTATCTGATTTGATCCTATGAGGTATGCAGGCAGTAAAGTGTCCATTCACAAAGAACAGACTCAGCCTTAGAGATAAGTAGTTTATCTAAAGCTATACTCCAGAAATCAATGTAGGTCTTAATATCTACTAAACATGCTCTTTCTACTATATAACCCACAGAAAATTAATATGTTTTAAAATAATCCCTAATTAGAAACAGTTAAAATGAAAAATATTTTACTTAATTGGATAAACTTCAGTTATCTGAGGAAATATTTGGAATGAAACATTCCCCTGTGCTTAGCTGAGGTTTTACCATGGTTAGGATCAGCACTCATATCAATTCAGGAAGAGAAAGTTCACACTGTGATTTGAAGCAGTCACCTGGATATAGTTCATATCTTTGATGCATTTATTTCTTCCTCTACTTGCCATTTGTCAGGCATTATGACCAAGTGCTGAGGATACCAAGATAAGAGACAAGCTTTCTGGCTATAGACTAAGTGCTAAATACCTATGAAAAATCCAAATGGAAATATCCAAAAAGCAATTGTATATGTGAATTTAAAGCGTAGGAGGAAGTCCCAGCTCAAATAGGTAGATTTTATGGTGAGCAGCACATAAGTAGTTATTGTAACTGTTGGTGTGGTTTATTTTGACCAATCATATATATAGCAAAAAGAGATGGCTAAAGACGTGACCTTAGGGAACACTAACATTTAAGGAGAAGTCAGAGAAGGCTGAGAAAGAGAGGCCATGTTAATAGAAGTAAAGCCATATTTGTTCATTTAAAATATATATATTGCCCTGGACAGTTTGGCTCAGCGGTTAGAGCATTG